ATGAGATGGGTTTGTGCCGTCACTCATCGATCGCTTTTAGAGCTTTATGTTGTATAGTGATATCATGTTTGTTGGATTGACAGTCAGCCTTTACTACTAATTATTTATCTTGTTTATTCTACTATATGTGATTATATTAGAGGTTATCACTACTGTTTCTCACCTGAATGGGAAGCACAATGAGCGCCACAAAGATCATGATGACCACCAGGAGTTGCGAGGGCCAGATTTGGGGGGTGACATCTCCAAAGCCCACAGTGGAAAAGGTGACCACACAGAAGTAGAGTGAGTCGAACAGGGTCAGGTTGTTCCCTGCTCGTTCGAGGTGTTGGATACCACAGATGCTGATAGAGGTCGGCAGGTTGGGAAAGATGTAGAAAGCATCACTGAGCGAGAGAAAGACTTCATATTCTGGGTGAGCTATAGGTGCCTCTGGGGGCCTTATACATGGAGAGTTGTCTTTCACACCTGTGCGTATATGTGTGACTTGTGTGTGTGGAAATGGCGGAGGATGCATGCTTGAGCGCATATGTGGGACATTGTATATTTGTGTATATAGGTGTGCGAGTGCCCGCTGTGCATATAATTGTGTTCTTTAAGGGATAGATGAGTCAACAGGCAAATGTCAAATCTGACATGGTCAGAGAGCTTAATTCAGGCTGTGTGTAGGATCTTCTAGATTAGTCCATGCTTTCACACCAGATATGCTGTGAGCTGACACATCCTCCACTGTCATCTGGAAGAATCAACCAGTTGTCATTTCAGAGCACTATCTCACTCTTACAGTTACCAATTACCTCTCTGCTCTCTCTTTTCTCCCTCTTAGATCCAGGAGCAGCAGTTTTTATTCTCCCATCTCATCTTTGTCCTGCATGTATCACACTATTGCTTTGCGTAGCTTGTCCATCTCACCCTCTTTCTGCTTCTTTCCTCACCCTGTCTACGACTGTGACCCTGTCTACGACTGCTATTCAACCTCCATTTAATGTCTCTCTTTTCCCGCTTTTCAGTCCCTGTTGCCCCCCCCCCCCTTCAGTTCAGTGGCAGCAAGGGTACTCACCAAGTAAACATGAGACACACCAGCGTGCTGATGAGTATCACCACTTGGTTAAACATGGCTGAATGCGTCCGCTGGATTGCCCTGTGGAGATCATTCTGCAGAGACAGGCACAGATATGACTTAATGTATGGAAGAAGCAACAACCCCAAGCGCTGCATTGTTAAGGTGTAAAAGAAGGGTAAACTACAGTTAATAGATAGTAGGAAAAAAATACATCAAAAAACAATGGGTGGAATATAAAAATGCACTAAAAAAGGAGATAAAAACGGCAAAGTGTTGAAATATATGGAGCAGAGAGAGACACAGTTTATTACAAAATGTGGAGCAGGCTTCGCTAGATGGATGGAGGCAGGGAATGTGAAAAGCTTCAATAACAAGCCCTAAGTGCAATTTAAATGTTTTGTGACTGATTTACCTTCATGGCAGAAAAAGCCGGTGAGCTGAAATGGCAGAGACAGAGAGGGGCAATCGCATGCCAACAAAATAAAATAACAGAAATCGAAATAAAAGTAATGGAACAATTGGATAGGGAGATAGTGCTTCACTCACTATCATGTTCTCCAAAGCGTGTTTGGCCAGCCAGCAATTGAGAAATACAGGAATGAAGAGGTTTCTGAAGGAGGGCAAAATCACCTGCCAAGAAGAGAAAGCTTCAGTCTGCTTGGCTCTCTGTCTCATCACTTTCTTTCATATGTTGTATACAGTCACAGGAACTCTCGCAAGGAAAGGGGTTGTGTGAGCATGTGCTTGTTGTGATAGCCTTTCCGTATTAAATACGTGATGTGTATTCAAGAAGGGAGGATGGGATTGCAGTGATTGGGTGCTGTGAATGCTCAGTAATGCATATCCTTCCACTCACAGTGATCATGAAGGGAACAGCGCTGATCATCTCCAGAATGAAGGGGACACGTAATACTTGCTCCCAAACGTTGCCCTGGAAACAAAAAACACACACAGGGGTCAGGAAACTCCATTGTCATGGCGACCTTGTTACCACATAACAGGCATGATTGTGAAGAGTAAAAGGGAACAAATTGACCGGCTTTTCCACCATAGAATAAATCGGGATATATAAGAGTTATACAACTCCCTTGTGCCCTTTGAGAGGAGAAGCAGCATAACTTGTCGTTCAATTAAGATGTCAGCCATGGCTGTTTTTATGTGTCTGCCACCTACATATGGCTGACCTGAATCTGACTAGTGTAGGTGGACAGGCACAGGCTATGTCCACAGGAATCAGTCAGCTCTAAATGCTAAGGCCTCTAGCCTCCAGAGTAATCTGCAGAGGGAGCCCTTTATAGGCTTATAGTGTCAAGTACATCAAAGGCAGGGCGACCCGTTGATGGATTGCCCCCCCACTACAGCAACACAGGGGCCTCCCCTAAAGTCTGTCTGATGTGTCAATAACAGGACAGTGCTGAGGAAGCCTCAAGGCCCACTGAGGTGCTCTCCAAATGCATGAGCAAAGGAGCAGCATCACGGGAGAAAGGGACAACTTCAGTTTAGTGGACTGAACAACAGATGAGTGCAAAGTGGACAAATACAACCCTTAAGCACATTGCATGAATGCCCACCCCCATACACACACCACACATGTAGACATTATAGCCACAGACATCACAAAAGCAGACTGGCTGCTGGGGGCCACACGTAACTCACCTTGTAGCTGAGATACACGAGCAACATAGTTTCTGAAAAGCTGATGAAAGCCACAAGCACCTGCAAAAAGAAAGACAGAGTTGTAGAGAAATTGAGAGATGCAGACACGGAGAGGAGTCGAGATAGTCGGAGAGAGACCAGAGCAGAGAGAAATTAGGAGTCGCAGAGATAGAAGAAGAGAGCGTGGGAGGAATCAGTAGGCGTGCTGATGATTGAGCTTCAGAGGGAGCAGGTTTAAGTGAAGCAAGAAACAGTCTGGTGTCTGATTGTAGACATATATGCATGTGTAATCATTCTGTAAGTGTAAATACTCGTGTAAAGTAAAATTATCTGATTTCATGTATTTCCGTCCTAGAATCATGTGACATAAATTAAATGCTGATAAACCAATAAAAGGAATACAGAAACTATGACGTGCAGATATTTGTGTAAAAAGACTGAGGCCTTGTTTACACAGCACTGTACTGATTTATCTGACCTGCAGTCCCCACAGCGGTAGAGGTCTATCCACCCAGATGATCAGTTTCCTACAGAGTGGAAGAAAAGCAAAGGATAGAGAGCAGAGGAGAGAGATGTGGCAAAAAAAGGGACAACAATTAGCTGGAGGCTACTAAAATATTCTTTTCTGCTGGACACAATGACACTTGACAGGGACCTTGAAAACAGCTCATGTCACTAGGCCCTACATAAAATTTAATTATGCTGTTTACAACTGAAGAACAGTGGAGTGCACAGCTGCCAGTGTGCTCATATTGTAGGAAAAAAGTAATATTCACACAGTCAAATGGAAATTTACAGCCTTATTGTGCGAGAAAGGCAGTTTTTTTTTGTGCCAAAGACACCCTGGGGCTTATGATGGCTGCTTGCCTGCGCTCTGATTTGCCGTACGAGTCTCCTGCCCAGAGCAGGAGGTGGCCCATCCCTTTCCTGAGCTCACTCTGTCAGCCTCCTTATTCATGTGGAGCCAGAGCTTAGCCAGTGTCACCAGCCACCAATTAGATCAATAGGTCCCCGAGCAGGAGACATGGCATAGCCTCAGGTCCATGGACACTTCCTGGTTTCTCTCCCTCTCTGCTGTTGTATATTACACACTTTATCTCCACTAGATCGCTGTTGATTAGGCTGCACAGGCACTACATACATATTATGTTGACAGGTAATCCATACAGTTGGATTGTGACGAATGAATGTGGATCTGTAATGCTCAATATCAGCACTGTGAATTGCATCAGTTAAGTGAAGTTGCATTGATTGCGTTATACAACGTTTCCGACCAGAGGGCTGGTGTTGGGGATGCCGGTCCTCCAGGGTGTGCGGTTTCATGGTCCTTGTCTGCAGGCTGAAGCCATCACTCTTAATTAGAGACTTACCAGTCAAACTCACTACAGGGGCGGGATGATGTGTTTTGTTTGGTGCAGTTCACTCCGCTCATGCTGCAGGGGGGAAAAAAACAACAAAAATGGCAATGAAGGTAACTTCTTGTCCAGATTCTCTCACGGAAACTGGGCTAATCTCAGTCCAAATATCAGTTTACATTCCTGATTACATCTCCACCAATACTTTTTACGGGATACTCTATACACACTGTTATCTCATCTATTGACCTGATGCACTTGCTCTTGCTATCAGGCCTCCACACTCACAAAGACTTTTTTCACCTCATTAAGCCCCTGTTATCGCCATTTCTCTCACCAGTCTTGTCTTCCCTCTTGCGGGTTGTCCAACAGGACTCTGACAATGTAGAGGAGGCAGCTCAGCACTTTCAGAGCGAAGTTAAACATACGCACTCGCAGACCTGCAATGCAAAAAAAAGACATAATCATTCAAATTAAATATCAGCAGCTGAATATATAGACACGTTTTCTTTTATTTAAATATGATTAAAAATGTTTTTAATATGCTTCATGCATGTTTTAAAAATCTCTGAAGAAAGCTCTGCGGGATTCTTTGAAGTAGTGTAACACTGTATACAAAACTACTAAAAAAATACTAAAATACGAATACATTTTTAAAAGACACAATAGCTAATAGCAGATCAAAAACTACCAAAAAGTTCACCAGTCCCTAAAATTGTTCTCCAAATCATGATTCATCACATCTTTCCAATTAAACATGTGCAGCAATGGTGGACTGACAATGATTGGCTTAATACAGCAGAAAATGTATACAGTATTTTATCTTGTTTGCTGAGAGCTAATCTTGTATTCCTTACACCTCTGCTTATATTACAATTACAGTTATTTATGCACTGATTAATACAAAAGAAATGAATGCCATAACTATTTGTTAAAGATCTTCATCTACTTCAAATTAAGGTTTTATGAATACATGTTTTGATAACTTTGTGCATGCAGGAGAAAATACATATTAAAGGAATGACATTTCTATAAATGAATCCACTGATCATCTAAATAGCTACACGAACATATAAAACAGTCACAAAGAGCGGATAAGTTTAACAACTGGTGATGAAATGCAGAGCAAGAATGACAGCACATCACAGACTAAAGTGAAACAATCAAAAATAAGAGCATCTCATGGTGTAAGAAAACAGACAGCAGGCAGGAAATTCGCCCAACTAATTACAGATAGAGAAAGCGAGGTCCCAGACAAAGGCAACTCACTTGATCTTTGGTTTTTGATGAAGAACAGCTTGAGGCGCTCCTTGAAAGTGTTCTCATTCACATAGAACTCTACTTGCACCCTAAGAGAAGAATGGAAAGGTTGACAGAGACACAGAGAGAGAGACAGAGATAGAGATAAGGTGGGTGCAAGAGAAAAAAAAAAGGAAAAGGCAGGAGGCGCTGCAGGTGATTGAAGAGATGACATACTTCTTTTATGGAGTCAAGTCAAGAGACAGAAGAGGGGAAGCAAGTAAGTGGAGGGCTGGGAGATAAAAGGAAAAGGAATAAAGGTGAGGAATAAAAAGTGTACAATTGAACACATTGGAGATAGAATGGGTAATAATGATTATTTGAACATTGAAAAGTATGGAAATAAGACACTGGCTCTGGCTGCATTAAAGACTAATGGGTTTTGGAGGAAATGGTGTTCCTGCTTGTCCGCTTGCCCATAGGCCCAGACAGCTGCAGTCAGTCTCGTTATCTCCACTGATTAAATATAGAGCAACAAATTACTTCCCTCTGATGTTTCTGCTGAACATGGGGGGCCATAATTACTGCTCTTTCTCCCTTTCCATTCTGGCACCCTTCTGTTACAGGGACACACGCACACACCTACTGTACACGCAGGCTTAAAATACACACCTGGCAACCGGATCATTAGGATTATTAGACCATTCACACGCCCATCTGACATGGACGCTCATGGGGAGACATGATGGAAATGACAAAGAGACACTCTTCAGACAGCTCTTACATGTGTACAGACACATAACCAGCGGGACTGAAGGTGACTGTATTTCCTGTCTGACCACCTCAGGGGAAAATTCTCAATAGCTCTCCTTTCATCCTATGGAGGGAAGAGTAGATGACTCAGATCGAGGATGAAAAACACCAGGCCTGACTCGCTGGTGGTCCGTGCATATTACACAGATGAAAGAGAAGCAGAACAAGTGCAATCTATTCCCCCGTCGGCTGCAGGAACAGGAAGAGATGGTGGTGGTGGGGGGGTCTTCCCAGGGTTCCAGAGTGACGCTATACCAGCAGCCGACATGGTCAGACGCACACATACCAAAACCAAGCAGCACTTTCCCAGCAACATTTGGGGGTGGGTTTCCTCTTTGTTGCTATGGCAACACAGGGTTCGTTGTCTTTTCCCTCCCTCTCACATAAGCAGATGTGAGCAAACACATATACTTGTGAAGTGTGTTCAGCCATTGAAGCTGATAGCCCGCTCCAACTTGTTGAAGGCTCCCTTCGCTCTGAGCAGCCTGCTAACAAAAAGGCTTCTGCACACATGATGGAAAACACAAGATACGCACAGCTCCCCAGGCCCGTGAAGGCCCGAGAGAGTGCGTGTGTGTGTGTGTGTCTATGTATGTGTGTGTGTGGTGAGTCGTACTGAGCTAATTGACTATATGACTGCATTAGTGCTTTCATGCACAGAGCAATCAAACAGTCAATACCATGGTGGTAAAAAGCCCAGGAAATCATTATCACCTGTTGCTAAAGTAAATATTATTATTCATCCATGTAAACTTTTTTTCTTTGCGTCTTTGCAGTTTAGGCAGCAAAAACTTCAAGGCAGGCAGGCTAACCCTAACACTTTTCTCCTTCGATAAGAAAAGATGCAGTTATAAATTAAACAAACCTCACGTAGCACTTAAGACCAACACAAACGGTCCTTCTGACTTTCTTCAAAGGTCACTATCAGAAACCACAGTAAACCTTTTATTGGTTTTTATAGTGTAGCTATGCACTATTCTTATGCACACTTCATCTAAAAATAATAACAATGATAATAATAACATCACCACCAAGGACACATTCAAATGTATAACCTTCCTTCTACAAAGAACTAAATCCATCAGTGTTCAAGCACACATCCACAAGGCATAATAACTAGAAAGCTAAGTGCTACTGGTTCTGTTGAGAGAGCTCCACTATGGCAAGTTATTGTCCTCATAACAAAACAAAATTGTAAAGGCTTTAATGTGCGCTTTCCCTCAAGCTAATGTCCTCTTTTACAACCAAATCCATCAGGCACTGCACCTGGCCAAATCATTTTTTTTTCTATCCTTTGCCAAATCTCCAGCTTCTTCTTCCTAAGACATCCAGGGTGACATACGTCCCTATATCCAGCCATCCATGCATTTCTTCATTCATCATTCAAGTCCTTAAAGCCTCTTCAAACTCAGTGAGAAGAAGCTGTGGTATCTACCCAGGAGAGGACGATAATTTCAGAGGTCATTTTGCCCTTGATGTTTCTTTAAGCGAGAGCTTTTCCACTTGAGTGTACAACAGAGGATGAAAAGTAAAGTGGAAATATAGCCCAATAAAGAGTTGAGCTGTGGGATAGATTGAGAGTCGGGATCTTTAATCTAAGGGGAGGATGGGGGAGAAAAACACAATAAAAACAAAACAAAATACACACACGCACATCACAATGTCCCCCTCTGAGCAATAGCCACATATCAGCCCCCCAAGGCCCTTCAGAAAGTACAAGGAAAATAAACAATTAGATAATTGTTGAGAAAAACTGCTTTGGGGACACTGATGTGTAGAAAAAGAAAAAAAAAACATGTCGCTGGATTAAGGAACAACCATTTCAGTGTATTGTGTAAGATTCACCAAGAGAATATATCCCCACATCTTTCTGTCTGCTCTGCTCCTCATTAAAAATACCGGTTTATCAAGCTAATTATTTTGAGGCATCTAAGATCATCTCATGGGCTTTAATAAGAAAAAACAGCAGCTTTAACAGCTGGAAACAAGAGAACATGAAGAAAGGGGCATGGCGTAGCATTTTAAACCTGAGCCTGGGGACAGAATTTGCATTTCCGCATTTGCATGTACACTCTGAAAGTTGAAGTGTGAAAGAGAGAGAGAGAGAGAGAGAGACAGAGAAAGAGAGAGAAAAGAAGAGAGAGCAGACAAAAATATAGACAGATAAATAGACGCAGACAGATGGACAGAAAGACAGAGGGGGACATGCGGAGGAGGATCTTTGAGAGAGAGAGAGAGAGAGAGAGCTGAACCTTGTTCTCCTGCTGCTTCCACCCATGCCTGTGCTCCATAATGACACAGCACTGGCCATCTAATGACACAGTTGAAGAGACTAAAGAAACCCAAATCTATGCATGCACAACAGCACAGCACTAACTCATCACAACGGCCGCACATAACGCAGAAATAGTATTCATACCAGTAAAGTAGGAAAAAATAAATATCAAGAAACAAGAAATAAGAAATAAGATAACCTAGTGAAGAATTCTATCCCATAAACCTTACACTAAGATCACTGATCAGTTTATTCTGTTATATTAATGGAAATAAAGCAAAAATGGAAATTCATAGCATGCATTTGGGAAAAAAAATCCACAATAAATATTTAAAAAATGCTGTAAGGAAAGAAAGGGATGAATCTGAATGCCCCAATTAAAAGAGAAAAACTGATCATAAGCAGACAAACTCAGGTCAAGCCAGGTCTATACTGTGCAGTGTGGACCACTGTGATATGGAAATGAGGACAAATGACTGTCTTGGCATTTATTCCACACATCTTTCGAAGATATGCAGATTAAAAAAAGGTAAGGGCTAAGAATAATTTCAACCTCTAAAAGGAGACTGATTTCAAAAGGTTTTAAAAAAGCTGTTCCCATGGATTAGAATAAAAATGTCATTTCTGGAGAACCATTCTATAGAGAAATGCTGATGACCATAAACCAGTTTGAGGTTCATGACTCAACATACTGTATTGCTTAAAATGATTGGGTGAGTAGGGGATCCTCTGTGAAAAGAGGACATAACTAAAAGAGCAGATACTGGAAAAAGCAGACAAAGAAACGCAATAATAATATACACAAACTACAAATAAGGGCAGGAGAAATTCAAAGGGATGACAAGAGGCAAATAAATTGCACATCAGCACGGGGCCGCTCTAACAGCTTAACAGAGGCAAGGTGTTCTCTACTTCATCCAGCCAATGGTTGACAGGGCAGCTTGTCCCTGACCCAGATACACAACCATCACACACATTGGAAATGAAAAATGAGAATATATGTACACATCCCCACTAAAGAAAGAGCCTTTTTTATTGTGGTAACACACACATTTTTCTTTTAATACTGACAATGCACGAGTTCAAGCTGACTCAAGAATCAGATGAAAAGAATGTCAGATTTTTTTTTTATTCCACTCACTGCTGCCGCGAAATTGATTTCAACACTTCAATGAAACAAGCAGTACTTCCATAATAACTTAATGATGACTGAGACCTTTGAATAGTCTCTTTCTTTCTCTGTCTTTTCAAATGTGTATAACAAAAATTCAACCAGTCTATCTGGTGACTGATTTATCTACTGTTTTATCTACCATGCATACGTACATATGTCTACAGCCTCCAACCGTCACTCTCTCTACCCACTAGCCTGGGCAAGCAGGAAAATGACAGCCATCATTTACAAGAAATGTGTGATCTATCTCACAGTATATTGATAGTAAGTAAGTGTGTACTGTAGTCTCTACTCAGGACCATTTCCTGAATAACCCCTGAGTTCTTATGCATTCAAACTTTCCATACATCACCAGTGGAAGTGCTCCAGCCATTCCTCCCCCTTATTCACTGACGTAAACCAGCCTCGCCTCATCCTTTCCTGAAACGATCATTCACTATTTATTGTTTAGAGGAGGAAATGCTGACATATTCCCGTAGTCTCTGTTTACCTAAAGGAGGAACAGAACGCAACAAGTTGCTTCAGTTCCTCTTAAATGAATTCATGGAAAAGCACTACATGGGTCCATACTTTCCTGGCTAAACAAACACCCCATTCATCCCTCTATCGTGAAACAAAGTATGGCTTAAACTGATGCCCAACTCTATTAAAAGCCATCCAATGACATTCTATCTCCCTGTGCCTTCAGATTACATTAGCCCAAGATGTTCGCAGACTTGATCAAATCAACGCGAGATATCAATCTGTTTCAACGTCGTCTTCAAATCACTGCTTTGAGGATGACATGTGTGAGGCAAGAAGAGAGAAACATGAGAGGGATCATCTCTATTGCCTGTCCCTGGTGTCTCTGGGGCTGCTTGGATTTGAATGGCCTGTGGTGTATAAAGCTAACACAATTTGGGAATTAGGGAGCTGCGATCAGTGGACAACTGTGTTTTGCGATCCCCCACAACAGTGTGGCACAGCAGCTCCCTGCCCCCACTCTGATGCCACGGGGCCCTCCAGCAACATCGAACACCGCTAGAGCCCAGAAGTGCCCAGACACATGCTAGTCAGCCCCATGGCTGTGTTAGTATCCGCAGCAGGATGGCTCTTAAGTGTTGACAGTGCTCGTCTAACCGAAAAGCTGGTTAGGGAATTCAATATCTAGCCTATTAAAGCCCAGTGGCAGCAAAAAAAATCTAAAAATAAAAGAACCAAGAGTCTGGATGATGACCAGGGACACACCCTGCACCGACTCTGTTCTCTCAGCCACGGGCTATTGCTCATCAGTGATAACAATGACAAAGAATACAGCTTTAACATATATCCAATATGTGTCTGTATCACTTACTATACAGTATACAGCCACAGAATCCAGGTGTTGCTGGAATACAAAGAATTAAATTTAATAAACTCTGATTGTGTACCCAAACAGAAGTGTCTCTCACTTTGCCTTCAGGTAATGTCTTCTCTGTACTTACAACCTTCTCACAAAGAGAGCAGCGGTTAATGTCCTCCGGGCATCATATGCACAATATTCTTTGTAGCAAGATCATACTCAGACTGTGTATGAGCCCTCCATCCTCCCACCATGCCGTCACATTTGTTCTCAAATGGACCTACTTGCAACCTTTCTTCTTTGCCAATATCAATTAGGATGTTGTTTTTATACACTTTTTTTTTAATAGAAAAGACCATTCGTCAGGCCTGTTGCTTTGGTTTTATGAGCCTATACCACTCCCTAGGCCCCCAGCTTCCCATTGACTATGCAGAACCCTCCAATTAATTTCCATTAGCAACTGGGTGTTTTTCAGTTAACTTTACTCTTGTTGTTTACCGGCAGCATCATGTGGCTGAGGACATGTGCATGAGTAATGAAAGAAGTTATGAGGTCCGCATGCTCCTTGTCTCTCCCACCTGGCATCAAATCTGATAAAATCACCTTTTCACAGAGTGACTCTTCTCATCATACCAGCCATTTATATTGCTAATATCCTTCCTTTATGCCAGCTCTGGCTCAGCAGACATAATGCATAATACATTCATGATTCAACAATTCTTGACAGAGATAGCTATCAGCTTTCTAAACTGTCTTAAAATAATATGACTGACACTTACAAGAGTTCTGAAAGGCTAACTAAAGGACTCCACCTTTATAGTGAAGTCAAAGCATAGCAAAACTAGTATGAATACTGACAATATTGATGGATCATGCTCTACATTGGCCTTACTACATTAAGGCTTGACTGGAAGAATTAAGGGGGAGGGAAAGGGAGTAGGAGCATGGGGAGAAAGGATCACAGAGTAGACTGAGACAGAGATCGAGGGAGAGAAGATGTGGAAGCGACAGCCGATAAGATATTGTTCTAAGGACAAATTTGTATGATAATCGTGGACTCTGAGGAAAGCTCCCACTGAGGCTTTCTATTGTGGAGCGATGGAGACTCTGTTGTGTTTGGTTTCTTGTCTAACAAATTAGACATACAAGTGGAGCTGTGATGGGAGTCATTTGTGTGTTTAAAGGCTCTTATGACCATGCCATCAACTCTGAGAAGAAATGGTATATTGCGCTGTAATGCTGAAACACAGTAATTGCTGTACTACATTAAGCCAGAAAATTCATTCATCTGAGAATTCTCAAAATGTAAAAAGTCTATTTGACAACAAAAAAGAGAGAAGATGGGAGGCTTTTGATGAAAGCCAGAGACAGAAAAGCTAGTTTACAAATTTAACCAGGCTATAATAAGATTTACACAAAAGGTACTACTGCTAACATAAACAACCTGCCATAAAGAATTCCATCCATTTCAGGTCTCAATATCATGTTCATATAATAGGCAAAAACCAGACTGGCAAAAATCTTGTCATCAGCCTGCAAAAGATTTGTATTTAATTGTTTAGTCATCTGGCATTTCCTCAAAACAGAAGCCTCTGACTCACTGCCAGAAAATATAAATGGTGTTGTTGTAATCAGAACAGTATCGTTCAAACATTCCTTCTTGTCCGTCCCTCTGTAAAAGCAGTACATACATTCACTTACTAATTAATCAGACACAGCCTTGATTAGAGGTATGGGTTATGGGAACTACACATATAAATATAATTGGCAGTTGTAACTTTCAGCAGCAGACCCCTTTTCTAATTCTGTCCAGGAAAGAAGGTTTGTTTCAGTCTGTACTGAGAAGACTGAGCCAGATTTAATATCTGTTTGTTCCAATTTGACAAAAAGATTAGATACGGCCAATGCTGGGCTGTCAAAGACAACGCTAATATGATTGCAGTTTTGTACATTTTAGCCAACTACTATTATATACATTATTATTAAACTATTATTAAATCTATATTATATATATAATATATATTATATTATAAATTTATGATTATGCACTGGAGGGGCCAGGGCAACACCCCCTACACACACACACACACCAATCCCAGAATCTAAGGACACAGGTAGAAAATAGTCACTATAGATAACAATAACAGTGCAATCAGGAGGATAGGAGATCCCTGTGCATGAAATAAATTAGTAAATCAATTCCCATCTTTAAAAGTCTGTGCTGCCTGAAAATTGCCTCAACTGAGAGCCTTTCAAAAAGGCTACAGCAAAATATATTCCAGTGAGCCACAGAAGACCTTTTGAAAGGGGGAAACGTATAGTTTTAGAGACACTTCAGTCTTAAATGTTAAAAGGGGGCAACGTATGGACACACAGAAACACACGCAGCCAGGGGGATGCGAGTTGAGAGGACTGGGAGAAGGCCTGCGTGACAGAAGAGGGATTATAGGGCTCAGTAATGTAGGTTTTCCCAGAGAAGAGTGTAACCGTATGTGTGCCAAGGAGATAAGTTATGCGTTCACATGTTGACATTTCGATTAGTGAGAGTATTTCAGTGCTGGGACGCAGCCATACTGTGTGGAGCTATCTGTGCACCTAGGTTTGGTTCATTGGGAATGTTACTTAAAGGCTAGATCGATTAACGGACCATGGCAGACAAACTTGGTGTGATTGAGCCCTAATTAAGCTTTCTGTCACTATCAATCACAGCTCTCGCTTTGGTTCTAATCACTCCATTTTATAGTAGCTAATACTCCCAGGGTACTGAGGTCATCTAGACCCTCTCTCTATCGCTCTCTCTCTCTCCCACAAGTGTCTAGAAGTGGGTATTTGAAATGCACACAGATGCTCACACACAGAGAGAAATATAGCTTTAGAGACTGGAACACACGATTAAACACATCAGAGATACAAAGGAATACATTTCTATTTTACCAGATACAAATGCTCATAATTAGGATCTACCTACTCTGTGACTCTGCACAAAATAAATGTAACATACACAGCCCACACAAGTTTTAAACTTAGTACCCTGTAAACGTGATCGAACCAGGATATCCCTGAAAACACTCAACATCATGTGTTTAAAGGTTATTACAGCACATCTGTGACACCGACACACACAATCCTCACTGTCTCAACCTCCAAACAAACCAAATCAATCACAACTACACTGCCTCTATACACCTATTGTGTTTCTACATTCATTTGGTGAAATTATCCCTGTATTTTTCCCCTCGCCTCTTTTGGAGGATGAGGTGCTTGGACTATACAAACTAATTTTGTTTCTTCCAAGAAACAAGCAGCAAACCCCCTGTCACTCACCCTCTGTAATCAGGTGAGGTCACACTGCACTCTGGTTTGGAAACATTAGTCCTTGGGCGATACCTGACAAATTACAGAAAGGCCAGAAGAGCCTGGTCAGCGTGAGCAGGCGTGTTTAGGCTACAGCTGAGCAAAATATGGATTCAGGGATCCAGATACACAGTATAATGGTATGATTTAGCACAAAGAAGGACAATGCCAGATGCTTTTTGTATAGATAATTTCAATATGATAATCATTATTGACAGGCTCCTATGGTAGCATGCAGCAGTGTCTCTGTAATGAAGCCTGCCAATGACTGGACTTGGATTGATCTCTTCCTTTCAATAGCAAGATTCCCCAGCTATTTGATTTAAAGCAGCCACAAATGTTCTGGTCCTCGTTTCCACATAGCAACAAGATATACCATGCGTGAAATGGAGTTTAAGGTTTTCCATTAGACAGCATAATGAAATAGCCAAATTAAGCAATGCATATCATATAGGACGTCAAATCTACTGCCCTGCAAATGGAGTGTAAGCAAAGGTTAATTGCCAGTTACTGAGAGCACCCACTTGAAATAGCCTTCCCAGGTGGCAGACGTTCACTGTAAATCTCATGAAATTATTGCATGAGGAAGATAATAAATAAGGTAAAATACTGTTAGTTTACCTTAGTTGCTCGTTCTTCATTTCCTCTCTTGCTGATGTCTCCAAAGGAATTTGTTTGATGTTCCAAATATAGACTACAGATGCGCTTTTTGCATGGCATGAAAATACATGAAATCAATATTGCTGAATGAATATTTAGTCTCCCATTCTCTTGAGTATGTGAGTATGTAAATATTTTTCTCTTATTAGTATATAGCTTTTGATGGGATAATATTTTATTAGCTGTATTAGCAACAGTCGCCTCTGCGCACACAGAGCAACCAGTGAACCTGTTGCAGCATCCATAACAACAGAGCTCCACAGTTGGCAGTAACATACTCTAATACATTCATACACCTGAGTCAACGAGATCACACGGAGTAAATGCAAATGCAAAAACAATGAGTACTTCTAAGACAAGGGGACACGATGCGCAACAGTTTCAGTGCGCCGTGCGTAAACGATGCAAGTAGCTACATCCTTACCTGTCGTCGGTCTGCCAGTCCCCGAGCAACAGGTCTCGGAACCGGTACCGAGGGGGCAGCGGGAGCACTTCCTTCTCCAGTTCGACCATGGTCCTCCTCCTCCTCAGAACCCAGAGACAGAGACAGATATCACCGCAAACCGCACCTCCACACCGAGGAGGTAGACCCCCCAAAAACCAACTCCGTTCCTCTTCCCTCTGCTATTCAAAACGTAGATTAATAACGAACACATTGATACACCTCATGGCATCGTCTTCGACCTCCCTCCTTAAAAAAAGAAAAATCAACTTCTTTCGTTTTTTGGCGCCCGTCACAACGCAGCTCTACTTTTCTTCCCGCCGAGGCAACAGGTCGAGGATGTTCATCCGTCGGTGCGTAGGGGAGGCTCCACTCTTACTGTGACAGCTGGAGAGCAACTGGTTGTCTCTCTCAACAGCAGCATCCTCCCTGCCTGAGCTACGCATGGACGCACTGGCTGCAAATGTGAAACCAACCGATGGGGACTACTGTACCGTAGCTGCGACTTTTTATTCCAGGATTTAAAAAAACAAAACAGCAACAATTAGAAAAACAATACTCACAAAAAAAATTTAGTATATATATAAATATAATACAATAAGCGGCCTCCATCAACATCGCGCTGCATTATGAGCATACTCTCTCTAATCCTGAGTGATAAACAGCGCTTACGTATATTAATTATTCCTGCATGGAGAGCAATAGTTTTTCTTATGTTGACTGGGCTTTTATTAAATATCACGGGGTTGTAGATCTTTTTAGAGTGCGTTTATGTTGGGAATTGTCTTGCTGAATTATACATGAGAACACATCAAATTTATTTAGTGCTAAGCTTGCCAACTGAGCTCAGTGTTGTTGCTCCCTCATCCCAAATATAATCAAAACACACAGTCGAATTGGGAAATATCCTAGAAAAACACTCCTGCTCACCCAAATCCTGTTATATATTTTAAAAAAAACCAATATAAATCTTCACATTGTGTGGGCTATTATAATATACAAATACAATTATCATAGCATAATTCCCCCATGAATATTTTAGTCAGCCCTTATTGTAACCAATTAATAAACACTTGTAATTAAGGGTGTAAGCACTTCTGAACTACTCTTATTATGCACCAAACCCACCGTTTGCATTGTAGTACTACACTGCTGTGCCAGACATTTGTTTGCCTGCCACTCATTAGATGTCACAGGTTTTAATCTTGTAGAGCCTTTGGTCATAACAGAAGCAGTAATGAAATTCAAATGCGGTGCTCAAGAGGACTGTTGACACAAAGCCACAGACAACAGGTGTTATTCAAATTAACTTCCAGAATATTAATATTAATCACCCACAATCAAGCCTTGACTAACCAGCACCTCTGCAAGCTCCAAACAAAACCTTCCCTCAGAGGGTCAACAAGGATTATTGCCTATTGAATTGATGGGAAAATGAAGAATAATAATGGATAAGAATGATTTGATACTATTTAGATGGATGTTGAAGCTGAAGCTTTAGTGTAAAACATTTTGAAATCAGTGTTTTTGTGCTCTCTTACATTTCAGCTCATTTGTCTAATCTTACTGTAATCATGTTTTATTTTTACTTTAAAACAGCTGAGCTGCGGTTTACTCTATAAGGAAACTTCTACAGCATATCATTCAGTTTTACAGTGAGACTTGGCTCTTGTTTTGTCTTTTTTGCCCTCTGGTGGACATCATGGCACAAGCACACAGTCTGTACTGAGCTTGATTCATTTATCGTTCAGACAGTTAGCTGACAACTACTCGTCTCTTCAGATGTGGGTTAAAACACCAGAATGCATACACATTTATTAATACTGAACTACCTCTGTAATGCACTCAGGCAGAAAAAAAAACAAAAATGGTTGATAAGAAGGCAAAACATTACATTTCAAGTGGGTGGGCCTAGCTGTGTAGCCATGGTAACAACAAAAAGTGTCTGAGCATATCAGAGGAGATAGTTCATGTGTTTCAAACCTCATTTAAACCCCATTCAGTCTCACATTATCATAATGTGTACTCTGAGGACAATTTGCAGAGGTTGAGTATAGCAGGTTGTTGCAAAAGATAATCAGGCGTTCTCCCTTCAGATCGAAAGCCATTTTCCTCATTGCCAACAAAACTGGCAATGCATATACAAATATAAACAAAGAGTAGAAAAGAATTATCCATTAAAAAAAAAAGTCATTTAAAAAGATATTAAATCTTTCAGTCATGTTTTGACATTTATCCCCATTTTGAGTAACAGCTGCCTTCCAGGTTCTACTCCAGCGTAATGTTGACGGAGGCTAGAGCATCCACAGCCCAGCCGGGGTACTGGTCACGAGAGGGAAACATTTGCTTCATGAACGTCCGTATAAAGTCAGGGAAGCGGCCTTCCACAATGCTCTCTCTCACAGAGCGCATCAGGGTGAGCTGCAAAGAGAAATGTTTTATGAATTGGAGAAAAGTAATGTGATTATCTCTACAGCACTGTGTCAACACTGGATATTGATCTCCAGAGGAAAAGCATCTTCTCCTCTGCATTTTAGAGTGTATGGATCAGCCGCAGGTCAGCAACCTCAGAGTATACAGGAAGAATGTGTATATGCTACTATTTACCATGTAGGGTAACATGTAAATGTTTTCATTAAACACTTAAACACTGACATTTCACTTTGGATCAAAGTGGTAGAGTGACAGGCCAACCAACAGGCCATCCCTAGAGCCACCCTGTGGCTTCAATAGCAAAACAGAAAAAAATAATCCCACCAAGAAATGAATGTGTTGCATAATTAGACATTTGTTATGCTCTCTTAAATATGAACATTATGTTTTGGGACACTGTCACAAGAAGAGACTCTTCATTGTTTTGATAATGCCAGAGCAGCAAAGCAAGTTTGTGGTACATTGATGTAGAAATAGTACTGAAGGATGAAATGATTGTACCCGAGGCGACATATAGTCTGAATCCTGTCACATACATTTGCAAGTTCAATAACTTTTGTCAGAGCAATTAGACTTTGAAACACATTAAACTCGTAACTTGGGTTGATATCTCTCAGCAGCAAGATTGCCAATACAGGAAACTAATGTAATGACAAAACACACTGTGAAATGGGTTGATAGTACATCCTAGTTTTTAATATCTCTGTCTGGTATTAGGTATTGTCTGGTATAGACACTAGACTTTAGTAAATAGAAACAACCTGACAGGATTGTTAAGACAGATGGGAAGATAGGAGTTGGCCAAAAAAGCCATTAGATGATCATACAGCACAGCAGTGACAAAAACACATCCCCTCTAACCTGAGTTTGAGGTGCCCCCCCCCCAGGTGACCATATAGAGATACAAGGGAATACTCCTTGTATCCATCTTCTTATTTCAATGAGTGTGTGGACTGTAAACCGTGAGCATGAATGCACTGACTGATCTTTGTTCTGTTGTGATGTTTTTAAGTCGAGGACATTTTATTGTTTATATTTTTCTGCCTCGGACAGACAATTAGGTTGACTCTATTCTAGTGTGCTTAATATTAACAAAAATATGTATCGTCGAGCAGGTCACATCTACTGTTCACGTTTTTGCTCAAATGTTGAATTTATTACCCACACAAATACCGACACAATTTTATTTGAATTGAACAGAAAAAGCACTATTAGTAGTATTTTTGGGACTCATTCATTCATTTTTTCCCCATTGACTGGAATAACAACGATGGTGGAGGTTAAAATGAGTGTAACAAAATCATTTAAAATCTGCTTAAATTACTTCTGGAGACAAGGTTTGAAACTTATTTTCTTGAAGGTAAAGTATTTTGTTAAGTGATTTTGTTTAATCATGAGTTATGATATGATGATAACTGTTCAGAGACATTTCCAATACTGACCTGGTAGGCAATATTATGGATAGTGATGTGATGCATGGCGGCAGTGTCACTCTTAAACAGAGCATGGAGGTATGCCCGACTGTGTCTGAAACAGAAAACAAGCATATTATTGTGTAATAGATGTGGTACAAAATATCTAAACACCAGGCATCCACTGGCACCACCATTGACAAAGATTTGCCTATCCACACACCTCCTCCTCCTCTCACTTACTACACTGTCTGATTAAAGTAACCATAAGGTAGCTGTACGTCTATTCTTACTGAAAAATGTATTTTAGATTAATATGTGTACATAAACGTCCCTCCTTTAGACCAAAAACTGACAGCTGGGCAAACAAATCTAAATGTTTGCTCCTGACTTACCTCTTGCAGGTGGGACACTGGCAGTCTGGGTCTATGGGCTGGAGGTCCTTGGCATACTGCTTATGTTTTACCTGGAGGGACCCCCAAGGCACCAAGGCAGAGCCAAACCTCTGAGTGAAAAGAAATATGACTGTAGGAAACACAGTTGAACTCCGCTTTTTAATATGGAATTATAACTGCTAAGAAAAAAAGATTATGAGTTCTTACTGCAGTGCGGGTGGGGAACACGCAGTCAAACATGTCACATCCCAGAGCTACACACACCACCAAATCCACAGCGTACCTGCAGCACATGAGGATGATACACACTCTTAATGTCATGTTAAAAAACCTTAAAGCCCTTTAATGCCTCAGTTGAGAATGAGATATTCCCAGCACACAAGCAAACATACCCCACACCCATCAGGTATCGAGGCTTTTCTCTTGGTAGATGGTCAGTGCTCAGTGTGACCATCCGCCAGAAGTCGTCCTTTTCCTCTCCTCCACTCAGGCCGCCGATGGCAAAACCGGGAACGTCGCGTTGAGTCATTTCTACAGAAGGGGCATAAGATATCTGAAGCTCTTATCATCAGTGTTTCACTGTCAGACTGTTGACAAGGGGCTACTTTACAGCTAGAGTGGACATTGAAATGCATTGTAATGCGCATTTCCGTTTTCCTTGCCAACATGCAGATTGCTGCCGATATCTTTGCACAATATTAAATCTCTTTAAATCTGACAGTAAATATCTTATATTACTACATTCCTCTTCACATCCTGACACTGTCATACATGTTCTTATGTTCTATCCCAATACGACCAGGGAGAGAGGTAGGAGATCAAAGGATCACTTCAGAGAAGGTCTTTTACCATCTAGACAGGCCTTGCGCAGCTCTGCATTCAACCCTCCTTGGATGATGGCAAAAAGGTTCTGTTTGTGTGGATTTTTATTGGCTGCTATACAGCGGTCGAGCCAGCGAATGGATCTGTGCATCGCCTCCTCCACCCGTGGACCCGTCACTGTACTGCTGACCACATCGTCCAGCTGCATCATGATGTCTGACCCTGGAAGAACACAGACAAACATGGACACCGTGTCTTTTTAGCCACTGGGAATTAGAGGGGAACGTCCAAGTCTTACGTAATACTGATTCAAATTAGTTTACTCCTTGCAGACCGAGACTGTTCTGTATGCTGATGGATTTCTCAGGACTTAGGAGGATCTCTTTGCCGTCGTAGGGGGACTTGAACTTTACTCCTTCCTCGGTGACCTCCGAGAGCTCAACAAGAGACACCATCTGAAACCCACCGCTGTCCTGCAGGCAGAAGAAAGTGAAGCACACGACTTCAGCAACAAAGCTCACCGCCCACCTCTTGTCAACTTATTCCATCATCTGTGAGTGATTGATTTAGTAAAGCTACACTCACAGTTAAAAGATTCCTCTTCCAGTTCATGAACCCATGCAACCCATTGGCTTTCTCGATTAAGTCAGGCCCCTGTAGGTAGAAAAGTTGAAAATGGAAAGACACATTTTTACAAAAGTTGTCAATTCAAAGTCAAATGACTCACAATAAATGCTATTATCGTACTATCTCCTACCGGTCTCATGCCCAGGTGGTACGTGTTTCCAAGACAAATCTGACATCCAAGACCCTCCAGCTGATCCACGGTGATTCCCTTCAGAGTCCCCTGGGTACCGACGGGCATGAAGACCGGGGTGCTGACGGCGCAGTGTGGCAGTATTAGATCACAAGCTCTTGCTTTGGTCACCGGGCATTCAGCAACGATGCGCAGAGTGAGGGGGGAAGCTGCAGACAGAGCTTTCTTTAGGGACATGTTGTTACTGGAAGAATTTATATCAACTCCACACTCTATGGTAGCAGCCATGTTGCAGTGAACATGTGACACGTAGCGGCTGCACTTGACAATTGAGTTGAGCAATCAGAGCAGAGCGATTTGTTTAGAGTGGCAAACACGCCTTTTAGAGTAGCCAATCAGAACGCTCGCTTGACGGAGGGGCAGCGAAATTGACCAATGAGCGACTTGGTTTCGCAGACAAGAGGCGGGTCTTTACTCACCGGTTTCGATCGGATGTCGTCTACCCTGACCGGATGGTGTTTGCGTATAGGAAGTTTTGTTTTGCGAGTTTTGTCCGTCCGCTTTCGACTGACTGAGTATTTAGTTAATGCGCTTAAAAAGAACACGAAATGATATTAGTGTGAACTGCATTACCGGCAACCGCGCAAGTGTTCAAGGGGAGAATAAAAAGCCCGAGCTGTTTTGAAAGCGGCGGAAACTCAACACTTTCACAGTAACCCGAGAGCACCTTGCTTGCTAAGCTAACGTTACCCGTATAGTTAGCGCGGCTAGGGTTAGCCTCTGGTCCGTTGTGTGGAAGGGGGTCTCCGAGCTAACGAAGCCATGGGGAACCGGGGCATGGAAGACCTGATTCCCCTCATCAACAAGCTTCAGGACGCGTTCAGCACCATTGGCCAGAGTTGCAATTTAGACCTTCCTCAGATCGCTGTGGTCGGCGGACAGAGCGCTGGAAAAAGCTCAGTGTTGGAAAATTTTGTTGGCAGGTGAGTGAGTGTGGTTGATTTGAGTTTAACCATGGAGATGGTTTCGTGGTTTAAATAGTGTGTTGCGCTGTCTGACATTGTCAAACTGTGTTTTGATTGTTCAACAGGGCTGCGATACGTTAGTGCCAGTGCGTAACGTCAATATGGAGTTACGCACTTGTCGTAAAACCTGCCTTGTGTGAAGTGACTGCAGGTTCAAAAACTTGACTTAGATACGCCCTTTACGTGCAAACCAGTGGGTCTAAAAAAAATACATGTTTCTTTGAGCTCAAGTGTAGGATTTCTTCAAACGATGAGGGATACTAAAAGTCAGACAGCATGTGTCTCTTTACTCCTGTATGTTCTCTGATCATTTCCAATGCTTTGCACAGTATTTATGCCTCCTAAAGCTGTCAGTAAATATGTTTTATAGCTGGTTCCTTTTTTACAATCTGGCATTTAAAACATGTCAAACTAAGACCCTTATAAAAATCACATCAGATAAGGTTTGTGTCCCATTGTGGTACTTTTATTTTCAGTAAATCATAGTGCGCATGATTTTGTCCTCAGTTCTGAATGGGGACTTTGCCCTTTGTTTACATTTATATTTCCATGCCACACCCAGAATATCCTACAGGATTTGCGTTTACCAGTAATTGTTGATTTGGTCCATAGCTCACAGCTGTTGATTGAAGTTGTATTGAGTCCCATAAGAGTTTGTTGTTAGTTAGTATGTTTATTCTATCATATGAGGGAGTAGACATGTTATCAGGAAGAGCAGTAGACGCAGAGCAAGCCACCTAATTTCTATAGAGATGTTTTTGCAGTGCGTTTTATATAATGCATTGCTTTTGACCTCAAAGCAGTCTTTTGCAGAACAACACAAGCTAACATTTGTAGCAGACACAACTTCCCATACCATCTTCCTCTTTTGTTACTGTTTCTGGCAAAACTGTGGAAATTAAGGAAACAGACTTGATGTTTCTTCATTCGCCGTGGTGTGAATGTCGAGCGACGGTGCTCCTCAACAGGCTGGTCCTGTTGTCCTCTCCCACATCAGCAGTGAGATCGGCCTGCAGATAACAAAAAAAAAAACCCAAAACAAAACAAGCTCGCTCCAAAGCAGCTTGTTTAGCAGGTTTCCACCCCATTGAGAGACACTCGGTGTGTGCGCGTAACCCAACCCACACAAAGATCACACAATTACACACATACACGCAGGCCAGCCAGCCAGAGAAGAGGAAGTACATTGGCTATTAAGATGGCATGCAGACAGGCCTTTGGTTATAAACACACTGGCCGAGAGCATGTCGTAACTGCTCTCAGGCAAGAACACACAGGCAGATTAGACTACCACTCGGTGCACATTAATTCAGATGAGTGGGACTTTGCACTGTCAGAGCACTTGACATACATCAGCTGTAATTAACACGAGACATTTCATGGTGACCTTGATTTCACTGTGTGTGTAGGCCTTTCACTTTCCGCCTGTTGATTGGACTTACATGCACCCATGTGCTGAAAAGTTACACAAGCACTTTGCAGATATGCTATAGCATATGTAGTAAATGTTCAACCCTTTATGAAGTATGTGAGTGGAGCACTTTTAGTGTTTATTATCTTTTGATTGAAAAAATAAAAAAGTGCAGCAGCAGCTACTCAGTTTTTGTTGTGCAGTTGAACTTGAAAGCCAACAAAGCGGAACAAGTAGAAGTCAAACTAAAGGCTACAAGGTCCAGTCTTACATACGGCAAGCATTTGGGAGGTGCTGCATATCACTATAGCAACAGGCACGCTTACGTTGAGGTGACTCACTGTTGATCAAAGGACTTGTTTGAGCTCAGGAGCGGCCAATACATGAACTCAAAACCATATTTTTCAGTCATCTAGTGCACAAAAACTATAAGTTTATTAGTTTTTGCTAACAAATTCTCTGTGGTGACAACAGATTTGAACTATGAGTACAAAGGTACTGTCAGTAGTGGCCTTTTCTTTGGTGAGGTGCATGTTGTGTGTGAAAGGCCGGCTTCATTCCTGTGCCCCTAGGTATGAAAATATTCCCTCTTTGCCTTTCTCTGGCACCAAGAACAATAGAAATAGAGTCACTCATTTTGTGGGAAAGACTCATTTCAGACCACAGACTGTATGATTTAGACACAGAGGGTAAATGCTCCTCCTTTTCTTTCTCCCGCCTGAACTCCATGCGGATGTTATGATCAAGCGACTTAACTCACTGCTTCACTCGGGCAAACTGGGAAATGTTAATCTGTCATTGCTCAGTTTCTGCTTTACATTTACTGTTTCCAGTGGGGAGGAAAAGTAGGGCTTGATCTAGTATTTGCTGTGTAGTTACTGTGTCTCAGTTTTTATTTTCAGCTCGGGTGGTCAGATGGGATTGAGAATCTCGCTGTGCTCTGTTGACCCATGTTGTCAATGTGATTTTGGCCTCTGTTGACTCCAGGTTTGTTACTAGAGACCAGAACACATTGGCTGGCTGGTCCACTCTGCATTCTTTGCTGGATAGAAGCTAATCAAATCACTGTGGCTCAACAGCCTCACGTAGATGTGAATGTTTCTGTCTTTTGGTAGGGGTGTGTGTGTGTTACTTTGTTTAGATATCCATCAGAGCCAGACCTTAAGTATTTCTGACACATTGGACAAACACTAAACACTATATACGCACTAAAATCATCCGTGCATTATGCTAACAAGCATTCGAGACCTAAAAGACCTTTTTCATGACCAATGCAGATGTAACTAATTAGAATAAAAATGGCTGCATTCCATTCAGATGTGTCAGTGCCATGGCCCTGGTGTAGTTCATGCAGCTTCACTGGCATTTGTACGTTTTGCTGTTTGTTAATTCAAAAAAGCCCACTGTGAAAATGGTATGGGATGGACATCTTATGAGCCGGCACATACCTGTCTCCACCAGCTGTTATGTGTACATCGTAGGGCTTCTCCTCTTGATAAACTGTTTAAATGACACAAACAGATGCTCAGAAACGAACAACAAAGACATCACAAGAGTATAAAACAAGATAAAAAAAACCAACTTGATTTTTAGTAAACTTGTGGCTTTGTGCCGAATTACATTTAGCTTAACTTTTCAGTGTTGTTTTACTGTATTTGTCTACAGTTTAATGCATGCGTCATTGGATCATAATGAACTCTCAGTTTAGAGATGGGGATCAGACGGTGTCTCCATTTTTGGCTGTGCTGTGTTGTGATGTCATTGTCCCAGTGAGGGGTGAAGACATCATATCTAGCACAGCAAGCTGGCCTGGGTGGTGGTTGTTATCAGATCTGTGGCAAGAAGACTACTAAGAAACAGCAGCAAGTGTGAAACAGTAGTCCTCGGTCTAAAGCTGTACTAAATCTTCATTAAAAACAGTTTGCCCTCAACAAAGGCCGACATGTGTCAGCCTTGCTCTAATTCAGTGCCACCTTTTACCAAAATATGACCATGTTACTATCATTAGAATTTGATGAGTGTTGGCGTTAAATGCATTGCTTCCGTCTCGATTTGTTGCAGCAGACTTACTCCAGAATAGTGGCTAAAAGAATTTGCACAGAAATGTCCACCAGTCTGGATGCCTGTGTGTAGCACAGTAGACATCCCTGTGAGGAAGAAGTACAGACAGCCAAGTGACAGAGAACGGAGGGATTTTCCGCAAAGCAGTTGGATTTCGCTAATGCCTGAAAAGGCTTTGCTGCCTAGCGATGCCTCTTGGTACCCACAGTGACAGACTGTAGTGCGGGAATGCGGGTAGCCATAATTATATGTTCATTGCCACACCAGAGACCCACGGGATAAGTCCCACCAAACCACAAACACATTTTTGTGTACTACACCCTCCCGTGAGAGCACGCTATGACCTCAGAGCTTCACATGCTGGTTTCCATGTTTGAAAGCGAGCACCGCCGGGCCTCTGTAGACTCGGGGAAAAGGAGGATCAGCTGAGGGCTATGGCTCCTCAGAGTTGCTCTGCCAGTTTGTAAGAGGCAGAGGCTGTCAAGCAGGCAGGGGGAGGGGAGTTGGCGCTCCCGTTCACTCCCTGCCCTACTCTCTCTTTTGCGTTCTCTGATAGAGGGAAGGAGGTTCACAGACTGATGCTCTTTGCTTGGCCATCCATAATGCATGACGTGATACACAATCTGCTCAGCTTCGTCTATCATTTACAGCACATCAATAATGTAATCCTGGCCTCTTGCTTCTTTTCAGTATGTCACTGCTGTTTATCCAGCTCTATCTATGAAGACTGACTGGTTCAGTTCTGTTCTTACATTATGTCTTCTCTTCTTTTGAGAAAGCCATTTCTCTGCATGTGTTTTAAACTTTATTGGCACTTTATCTTATTGCTGTACGACTTTAAACAGTGACCACTTGTTGAGTCAATGAGGCGGCATTTTCTGAAAATCCGTTGAGAGTCGCCTGTAACTGGAGGGATGTATCAAAAGTTTCTCGAAGAGGTCATTGTTGCTGTGAACTCTCAACAGCACCTCACTGCCATTCTCCACACCCAGTCGCTCTCTTCTTTATCCCCAACTCCCTCTCTCCCTTGCTCCCATTCCTCATCCAGGGCTTTCTATACTGTCGGCCGTGTGGACAAATGCTTCACATTATGTGCATGACACAGCACCAGTGCTGAACCACAGACCTGTGGATTTCTGCTGATGTAAGGAACATCCAGAATGTTCCCCACTGTTTCACAACAGGACTACAGTCTAGGAATAACAGGCAGTATGTAGTATGGCAGCTCCTCTCTTTTCTCCTGTCCTGTGGCTGACACATTGCTTCCAGTCTACAGTCAGCAGGCAGCCTAAGCACAGCCATAGTCCCCTCAGGCCTGTAGGTCTGGCAGTAGGGCGGAGTGAGAGAATATGGGTTAGTGACATGCTCCGCTCAGCTATGATTGTTCCAGGACTGAAGCTGGTGATTGCCACCAGATGTTTTATGTTTGCAGAGCATTAGAGAGGCCTGCAGAATTGGGAGGGGAGTCCAGAAGACTGGGTGGAGGAGCCATATCTGAGGGCTGACTAAGCAACTTTGCATGTGGTTAAAAATTCCTCAGGTACCCTGTCACTTTAGGGGGAACAAACAAGCCGACTGAGAGAGTTCTCATTGTTTCCTGTAGGCTGGTGTCTCAATAATGCACGGTTGCACCAATAGCATTTGCCGTTGTTTGTTTAATGTCATCTCATGCTTCAAGCAATGCACTACATGGTGCAATAAAGTTGCAAGATGAAGTTTGTTGTTGAGTATGTGCGCATAGAACAATGTCAAGTTTCAAGCCTGAGGCTTGTGTGGTTAAGGCTTTATGGTTGAGGCATTATCTGTTGTATTGACACAGTCTAGGCTCGAACTAAAGCTAACAGTGATCAGCTGAGACCATGGGCCTTGCCTGTCCTTTAAGTAGGCAGTTAGAAAATCGAGCAGTTTGATTGTTGTTCATGAATCGAAAAAAAAACACCACATTACAAAATGGTTGCAACCAGGGTAAAACCACCCTTGGTCTGTTGATACTGAGACGTCTACCTTTAAGGTCCAGTGTGTAGGATTTAGTGGCACCTAGCAGTGTAGGTGCAGAACTCCCTCGCTAGAACCTCCCTTCCAAGCCCGAAGGAGAAACTATGGGGTCCAGTGTTATACACTGCTTTTGTGTGAAAATAATTTATGTCCACATTAGTGTTTCATTCATTTTTATAGAAACCTCTGTCCACAGTAAAACGTCTGGCTAAATCTCCTTAGTCAAACACATCTGATAAGTAGTGGGACTGACAGCACAGCTAACCAAATCATAATTTCATGGTAAGGTCCATGTGGTCTGACAAAATCAAAATAAATACGGGTCGGTGATGATGACAGCTATATTGACATTAAAATGCATGACTACAGAAAAAATTGCAGAACAGAAATTTGCCTTCTTAACTTTGCACACAACCTCTTCCTGTGACTAGGTTATCAACAGCCGGTTGTTAGGCAGAGTGACAGCCTGTTACACTTGCATTCAATGTTCTCCTGCTCTCTAGTGTGTTTTTAATGCAGCAAAATTGTTTATTTTGTCAGAGAGCTAAACAAGTATGAGATGGTAATTTGTTATTTAATTGCATTAACACGATGTCATCTGAAAAAATCAACATAAATCCATGTTAATGACAACAGCACTGCTGTGTATTCAGATGCTCATTTAAAATTAATGATCAGAGAGAAAATAAGAGGCGACTAACTGGTTGTCTCCTTAAGTTGAATGGCACGTTGGCACACAACCTCCGATCCGTTTTGGGTTGCTCAGTTTACCCCATCAACACTGAAACGAAGCCAGCATTTTAAGATTTACACACTCTGGAGGCCGTTTTGAAAAAAACTCAGGTTTGGGACAAGGAAAGGCCGATTTAGTCCGGAAATTATACTTTATCAAAGTACTAGGAGTCTGTGGTGTGGTAGTTTTTGTTTGAGAAATTACATTAATATTGGTGTCCTTTTAATATGGGCCATTTAGTGGTTAATCAAAAAATGTATTCATATCTTAGTGATATCTCCATTGGTGCTGTCATAGTGTCCTAGAAATTATTCCATTATTCATCCTCCGCAGTGCAACTCTAGGATTTGTCTGTTGATGACATTATCATTACAGTCTGTTTAGTTCAGGATAATGAGAGACTTGTTTAAATTCATGAATTAAAAGTGAAATGAAGTGTAGAATACTGTAGATAATAACATCTATTAATTGTATTTTAGGGTGGATTTTAGCCAGAGCAGCAAGAGTGGGTGTGCATGAATTGATCTTTAAAGCTCTAACGATGACAGAAAATGACTCTGTCACATTTGATTTGTTCTGAGACAAGTTGGAGGCGTGAAATTCCCCTGTGCCCATCAATTTACCAGAGGCCACGTTCCGAGGAAATGGACATTGAGTGTAATGAATAATTGAATATTCTCGCTCTCTCTGTGTCTCTCTGCTGCTTTGTCTTTTTCTGTTTACCCAACATGTCCCTTTATTGTTGTTTTTGATTTACCTCCTTTTCATCCCTTTTACTTTGTACAATATTGGTGCTGATTTTTCTTCCTCTCCCTCTGTCTGTGTCACTCAGGGACTTTCTTCCACGTGGATCAGGCATTGTTACCCGTAGACCTCTCATTTTGCAACTGGTCAACAATAAAGCAGGTGAGTATATCAGCCGTGTGCACAGCCACATCCCCGTCTCCTTTTATCACTGCTCTGCATATGGCCTCTCTGTCACAGTGCCTCAAGCTCAGTACACTGTCTGCTATTTGCTACCTTCATCTATTGAATTTAATATTCTCCTTTTCTCTCTCCCCCCTGCTCTTTGTTTTTCTTTGTCCCTTTCTCTACCACCTAGAATATGCTGAATTCCTGCACTGCAAAGGAAAGAAGTTTGTGGATTTTGATGAAGTACGGTCGGAAATCGAGGCAGAGACCGACAGGATAACAGGGTCCAACAAAGGCATCTCTCCCGTTCCAATTAACCTGAGGGTCTACTCCCCACACGGTAAAGGAGACAAGTCTCGTAAAACCCACATACATACAACACTTTGTGCTCTTTGGCTTATGTAAAGTAAATATGAATTTTATATGGCAAGATATACCTTGAGACCGGTGAGATTACTGATATCACAGGATAAAAAGTATCCTGTCATCAGTTCTTATAATACCTGGTTATAATATATCTATCATCATATTACTTACACCATGATAAAAGGTTTTTTCTCCATATTGCTGGAGTAGTTTTCTGTGCTACTGACATCTGCCCCTCGCTGTTAGCAATTACTTTTCCAAAGAGCATTGTAAGATATCAGAAAAAAAAATAGATTGGTTTGGTTTTGGTAAAACACTGAAAAGCTAAGTCACGTTTGTAATGTTCTAAATGTGTTTTTCTTTTACTCCATCAATGAAAAGCTATCACAAACATCTATCCATCTCCTTGTGGGAGCTGTCACAGGGTATTCGCTGTCAAACTACATTTTTTCATCCTCATTTCTTTCAGTAAATTTAACACTTGTAAGTAAAAAAAACTCAGAGGGTGTTTATTTTTAAGTAAAAAAACAAACAAATTAGACTGCCTACTCGAAATCAATGATTAAAAATACTACTACCATACACACCCTTTAACATGTTAAATTGAGTGTAGATGTTTTATGAGAAGGCATTAAAAAGACCAGGACTGTATTTATCTTTAAAATGTCATATAAAAGAACACATTAACAACACTGAATATTCAGTGTGTTTCCTCAACACAGTGATTGCCCTTTCATCGAGGATGCCCTTGATTCATTAAACATTTATTTGTGTTACACCCATCACAACCTGGTTTTCCATTCAAATGCTGCATGCAAGTTAATTATGTGTCAAATTAAACTAGATACACTGCTTTGTTAAAAAAAAAAAAAGTTATAGAATCACATGACTTGATTGAATGACGATATATTGTTAAGATATCTGTAGGCTAGTTTGTTATTACAACATACTGAACCCAGGAAGCCTGATTATTTTATTCAACTCAGCCGATGGAAAAAACATCTCATTTGCATTTTTCATTTTTATGACTTCTGTCCATGACTTAGTGCTGAACCTGACCCTGATCGACCTTCCGGGAATGACTAAGGTTGCCGTTGGAGACCAGCCCATAGACATCGAGCACCAGATCAGGGATATGCTGATGCAGTTCATCACTAAGGAGAGCTGTCTGATCCTGGCGGTCACCCCTGCCAACACTGACCTGGCCAACTCCGACGCTCTGAAGATCGCCAAGGAGGTGGACCCGCAAGGTGAGCATGCAGCTTTCTAGTTCAGAGGTCAAAGAGAAGGCCTACGAACATAATGTAACACTCTTCTACTATCCCGTGAAACATAAAAATCACATTAGACATGGAGTCTTATGATATTCATTGCCCCTCATTTAATCTGCTACTGCTTAGGGATGAGCGATATGACCTAAAAGGAATACTCCTGTTAAAACACGAGTATCTCTTTTTACTCTATTGGCAATGTACGGAAACATAGCTTAAGAAAGAGACTTATTAAAAATGTGTTAATTGGAGTGGCCTGCCTCGTAATGTAGGTTAATAAACAAATGTTACCTTATTCTTTGTCAGAGTTAAACAACATACATACATCCTAACAGCATCTATCAAGTATGTTTACATATGGCAGCCACAGCCACACATAGCTATTGTATAACAACAATGCCAGCTGAGCTTGCTTTGTGGTATGATGTTCCATAAAAAGAAACATAAAAAATCGTCCACCCTACTAGTCTGGTATAACGTATGCCTACTCTTAGTTGCTGTAGCCCGATCTATCGCTATGGCTGCTCCCCCCTTAAGTTTAGGCAAACAAATCATTGCTGGTTGATGTAAAACGCATTACTGACAGTGTGCCGGCATGGGAATGTCGCTACAGCGATAGGCTTAATCAGCATCAAGGTTTGGCAGGAGAATGAATGTACAGAACAGACGTTCATTTATATGTAAAAGTTCTGCACTCCAGCTTTGACGTTGACACGGTTTTCTCTTGACTGACGCTCAATATTTTATACTCTCAATATTTATTATTTAATCTCTCTGCCAAATATTTTTAGCGTTTTTTATACAGGCCTGTGCTAGGAAAAGGTCAAAGACACTTACATTGTTCTGTGTAGTAGGAAACTAGATGGCGAGATGTAATAATATTGTTTGAATTGATGTAGTTACACCTTACAATTTTGTGCAGGTATGCGTACCATTGGTGTTATAACAAAACTGGACCTGATGGATGAAGGGACGGATGCAAAGGACATCCTTGAAAATAAACTGCTGCCACTGCGTAGAGGTGAGGATTAAACACACAAATACATGTACTCAGGCTTTATTTTTTACTCTAGAGTGACTATTTGAGTTGCTGTTTGCAGGGTACATTGGTGTTGTGAACCGCAGCCAGAAAGACATTGATGGGAAGAAGGATATTCGTGCTGCTCTGGCTGCAGAGAGAAAGTTCTTCCTCTCCCACCCTGCCTACAGACATATTGCAGAGCGTATGGGTACACCACATCTACAAAAGACGCTCAACCAGGTCTGCTTTTAATTGTTTGTTTTGAAATAGTAAAATATAATTTCCTCTCTACCAAGCCATTGATTTTTTTAATATAGCAGGGCTTTGCTTGAGGCTTTTGCTTTTGTGTGTAAAAATCAAGGGGGGATTAACAAAGTAAATCTTATTCTCATTCTGGCTCTGTCTGTTTCTAGCAATTGACCAACCACATCAGGGATACTCTGCCTGGTCTGCGCAGTAAGCTGCAGAGTCAGCTCCTGTCCCTGGAGAAGGAGGTGGAGGAGTACAAGAACTTCCGTCCAGATGACCCGACACGCAAGACCAAGGCCTTGTTGCAGTGAGTGCATCTGCATGTTGCTGTTCATAACAATGTCGCATACTTGTGGTTTTCACAGTAGATAGTTTGGGGGTGGTGTGACTTGCGACAGCTACTTTTAATGCTCACTGCACAGGGCAAATGTGTCTAAGAGCAGATGATTGCAAATTATGACTAAACGGTCTCAGCAGTATGAAACAGTGCTGTAAAAATGCATGTTGTTTTTGACTGTGTATTATATGATCATTTATTCACCACTTTCTTCAACACAATAGTTTTGATTTTGAACCTTGCATAGCTTCCTGAGTAGCCTACTAATTAAGTTAATAAAGTATTGTATTGAAATGAACTGCGCTGAAACAATCTCACATTCACTGTTTTAGAATAAATGGAAGAGCTGCCAAGATGAGATGGGTTAGGTGAAGTCGTAGCATCACTGCAAATATGAAATTACATTCATGACATTTTTGCAGTGGATCTCCAGGAAAGCTCTAGCTGCAGTTGCAAGGAGATTATTCACACTTGTCACATGTGTTTTGTGCTTGACCCTTATCAGGATGGTGCAGCAGTTTGGTGTGGACTTTGAGAAGTGCATTGAGGGCTCTGGGGACCAGGTGGACACCAACGAGCTGTCTGGTGGCGCCAAGATCAACCGCATCTTCCATGAACGCTTCCCCTTTGAACTGGTCAAGGTTAGTGTGCCATGAAGAGGATCAATATGTTGGGTATTATTGATACTGTGTTTCAGCTGTAGGAGTCTGCACAAAGATTGAAGTACTCCTGGATTTGTTGAAGTATCATTTGCCTCTTCTCCCCTCAGATTGTGTTTGACGAGAAGGAGCTAAGGCGAGAAATCAGTCATGCAATCAAGAACGTACATGGTGTCAGGCAAGTGGAGCTGAGACAAAAAAACCTACCCGCTTTCCAAAGTAGCCAACCGCGGAGCTCAATGAACACCTGTATTCTGCTTTTACATGAAATACACACATGCTTGGCTTTTCTCCCTTCAACGCTGTTATTCATCTATAATTGCTTTTTTTTTAAGTAATCAAGCCTTGTCATCACAAACTAAAAGCGGCAATTCAAAGTGGCATATTCATAAGTGTTTTATGTTGTATGTAAAATGTATTCCCTCTGTTCAATTTTCCCTTACTGTTCTCCCAATCCCTGCAGCACCACCCACTCTTTCTCTGTCTGTCTGTCTGCTGAAGTATTTTATTATGAGTTTTTGTGTTACATGTGTCTGTGGCCACTGCGCTAATGTTGTCACTGATAATCACTGATACTCTCCTGTCTGTCACATCTCATTTATGGTCGTATGCTTAATTACATTTACACCTAGCCTGTAGTGCCCCTCTCTCACCCCCACTGTGGCTGACAGTATGTTACTTTTCTCTTTCTTTCTCTTTGTCCATAAGTGCAGACCTCTACGATCACTTGTTTGTCTTCATGTTTAACTAGTCATCTGTCTATTCCTCTGTTTGTTTGTTTGTGTTTTTGGCCTACATGTCTGTTAACTGTCCCATCTGTCTGTTGCTGTGCCTCCTTCTCTCTGTGAATCCTCAGAACGGGGCTGTTCACTCCAGACCTGGCGTTTGAGGTCATCGTGAAAAAGCAGATCGTTAAGCTGAAAACGCCCTGTCTCAAATGTATCGATCTGGTCATTCAGGAGCTCATCAACACAGTCAGGCAGTGCACCAACAAGGTACTGCAGGTGTCCAGCATCTCCCGACCCAGCCGAGACACGGGCCAGGGGCCACCATGGTTGTGGCAGAGGGTACGCTGGCACAGAACATTAGCCAACAGCTTCCTACAATATCTAGAGAGGTCTCTACTGATAAGTTTAGTTCTTGTATTTAAAAAAGAAAAAAAAAAAAGTTCTGTGCAGTTTGCCCTCAGCCCAGCCCAGCCCAGCCCAGTTAGCCCTGTGTGCAGGCAGTGCTGTCGTGTTGTGGAGTGTTGTGACGGGTGACGTGTCGTCGTGGATATGAGATGTTTCAGGGATTCAACCTGTCTGAGCATCTCTGGTCTCTCCTGGACAAGCCACAGGTCTCACAACTCGGTACACATAGCCAGCAGAACCATGAGGTGGTCTTAAACTGTATTGGCCTTAAGTTGGAGGTGGCATGTCTCTCTGTCTCCATCCCTACCATATTGACCTAGTTTCAGAGGAACTGGCTTGTCAGGGAAGAGGATGTGAAAAAAAACCTGTGGCTTGTCCTTCTCCACTGGTTGATTTGTCTGTAAACAACTAGAAATGACTAACTGAACAAAGACCTTTTCTCTTTTTATTTCCTCTCTTCCTCTTTCCTGGCTGTCCTCTTTTTCTCTGTCCTTGATTTCTGCCTATCCCTCTCTCTTTACCATCACAACAAAATGCAATGTTGACCGCATGACCTTTCAGAACGGGGCTCTTCACCCCTGACCTGGCTTTCGAGGCGATTGTCAAAAAGCAGATCCTGAAACTCAAAGAACCCAGCCTCAAATGTGTGGATCTTGTGGTGTCCGAACTCACCGCACTCGTGATGAAGTGTGCCGTTAAGGTAACCAGGGACTCACCCTGCTGGGATGATGGCATGAAAAGAGAATGGATTCCTTTTCTCTTTAAATGTCTATCTCTGTCATCCCAGTAAAATGGTCACCCCAGTGAAATCAGCCCCTGCCACCACCCTTGCCACTACACCATCCGTGTCCACTGCTTCAAATGTAATGTATTGTCCCATCCCTTCCCACTTCTGAAAGTCTCCATTATCATTCAGAATGAGCACTGACTTACAAATCATGTCTGAAATTATAATCACAACTTCCACCAGCCAGCCCTCACATGCTGTTTGACCTCAGCATCAGCTCATTAAAGCATCCCCCCCCCACCACCTCTACATTGCTTCCTGCCTCTCTCACTGACCAAGACTCAGCCTGGTCTGTCAGTAGCTCGGCTACGCTCCCTTGCTCACCACACGGCAGACTGACATTCTGCTATCTGCTGAACCATATAGACAGGGAGTGATGTCGGGGGCTCCGTGGGTGCAGTAGCAGCTTGAATGGAGCGTTTCCATAGCAACGGTGCTTCAGTGCCATCTTGTGGACAAACGGAGGAGCTGCACACCATGACATGATTCACCATACACACAGTAGCCATCATCCCCTCTGTCTCATCCCATTCTGTCACTTTCCCTTCTCATTCAGTCTTCACTAATGTTAATAACTATGAAAACGCCACCATCAGCTAGAGATGACAGTTTTGAATGTATTGACATGTCTTTAAATGTGGACATTGCTCTTTTTATTTAAAATATAAAAAGATAATCTGTTGATATTGTAAAAAGCGCATGATTAAGGGAAACTTACAGCATTACCACATTGATTTTTGTATTCATAAAGTCATCCCTGGCTGATAGTAAATGCCTGATCAAATTGTAGAACTGACAGTGACCATCTATTTAAAGTCAGTTAGTATGCTTGTGTGTGTTGGTTTGTGGTTGTTTGGATATGTGTGACACTGAAATGTCACTTGATTATCTCTTTCCTCTTTACTTGTTATTCTCACTTCTCACTCCTGTTTCTCTCTGATACTTATTGGTAAGTCTTACTAAGCTCAAGCTCACATGTTAGTGTGTGTGTGCACGCGCATGTGTCTCTGTTCAGTGCCGCAGTTGTGTTTTGTGTTGCCTTTCAGCTCAATTCGTACCCCAGACTGCGAGAGGAGACTGAGAGGATTGTCACCACCCACGTCAGAGAAAGAGAAGGGAAGACGAAAGACCAGGTGAGCTGCTAAGTTGTTAATTAAATGGACCAATGGCTCTCGAGTATGCCAAGTGAGCTCAGGTCAGCCTTTGATGTTGATCTTTTTCATACAGTTTTGCATGCCTGAGCCTTTTTTATTGGTTTACAGTGGCTTCTACTGAAGTCAGGAGTACAATGAATATAAAAAAAACACATTTTAATGTCATCATATTACTGAAAACTTTGATCATTATGGGGTTTTCTTGGCCCCATAAAATAAAACAATATATGAAGGAATCAGAATGCATGAAATGGTTTGTATTGTTCAAACTGCAAGGTAGTAATAAAAAAGACATGCCAACAACTTTAAAATTGTTTAACAAAATATAAAATAGTTGTATTAAAACTATAAACTGCCATTCAAGGTATTTAATAATTCAATTAAATATTTCTGAATTGTTCTATTGCACAAAAAACAAATTGTCACAAATTGTTGTGTGCTGTGGTGTTTTTCCCTGTTAAAGAGATTAAGTTGTTAGTTATTAATTGTTGTCCTATACATGTTAGTAAGAAGAGTACCCTGAAACATTGCACATTTACAGTTATACACTTTCTCTTACTATATCCCACTTTATTGCATATAGTGTATATATTTTTTATATTTGTATATTTCTTACTTTTTGATTTCTGTTGTATATATCACCCAAAATCTCAGACCTCAAAACTTCGTAAACGTTTGCAAACTTTGCAAACAAGCTCAGTTCTGCAGATGTTTTTCCGATAATCAAATGCGTTAAAACGAAAAACAAGTTGTCTTGATTCTTATCTTCCTTTTCTAGAGAAAATGTTCAACCACATATGCAACAAACTTATTTAGTGACTTCCTGTTTTATTCAGCAATTGTTTGTTATAGTTATATCCTAAGTAAGCACCATTCTGTATCATGATAGAAGAGCAGTTATTGCGATCACTTAATGATTTTAACACATTCCAAGAAAAGGCATTAATGACTTCTGTGACCTCTGCATTGTGTAATTTTGAGCAGCCTTATTTCTTCCCCCCCAAGATGTAAATAAAACACTATTGCTGTCATTGAGCAATTTGTTCTCTTTTCAGGGTGGAGAAGAGCTCTTGAAAAATAAAGGGCCTGTCCACACGAATACGCGGCCTCACCCAATACGAAGTCGTTTCGAAAAAAATCTCCGTAAACCCGGCGACCCAAAACGTCTGTAGCAAACTAAGAGTTTTCAGTTTGGTAGCAGCTCTTTCAGGCAGGAAGTGAGGCAGGTTTAATTGTATGGTTTCTAAACAGAAACTTGTAAAATCATATTCTCAACTTCGCCACATCTCTAATTTGCATTGATAATGTCAATAGCACAGACTATAGTACTTCTGGTATGTGCACATTTATCTTTAGGTGTAATCTCTTTCAAGTTGTTTTTGTGAGACGCTGCACTCTCTACTTTGTCGCTTTTCTAAGTGGTGTTTAATTGAGACCCCTTCATTATAATCATGATTTTCTGCCATTTAATTAAGGTTCTGCTGCTGATTGACATTGAGCTGTCCTACATCAACACCAACCATGAGGACTTCATTGGCTTTGCTAAGTATGTACCCCCTCCTCCCAGCCCAACTTACAGCTTGTGTGCCAGTGACCCCATTCTCAGCACGGGCATTGTGATCCCGATTAACTATATGTTGCCTGTTGTCTGAGGTGCACTTGTGATTCCGTAGATTTACAAAGGAACAAGACCTGCAATCCTGTAACTTTCGCCCATCAATACATGTGGAAGTCGGCTGCCGTCAGAAACTTTACAGAATCACCAGCACTTAACTGCTACTGAATCATAGTGTCGCTTATAATTAGCCGCATGTTGTAAGCTGCGGTGCGTCAGTGTGATATAGCATGCCAATTAGTGATCCTGCCACATCAAAGCATGTGTCTTCCTGTAGGGTGGGCGGATGCTATAATGATCGAAGTCGCATTAGTTGCTCACCTCTCCCTGCATGCAACAATAGTATTCCCCCACCTTGATCACTTGACAGATACACTTCCTCTGCAAGCTGTTTGACTGTTACTATGAAGAATGCTTGCTGTACCAATGGACAGAGCAATGTTAGTGTGTTGCTGCATTCGTTTGAAGCTGCTGTTGTGTACTGGAAACTCATTTGCACACTGCAGAGTTTTTTGTGGTGCATATCTCTAAGCAGTTTAGAGTTTGTGGTTGAATTCATGTAGTCCCTAGTTTAGCGGTTACAATAACATGCATTTGAGTGGAGTCCCCCCTATGATGCCATTGACCAAGTAACAAAGCCCAGTGTGTGCGAGTGAGGATTTATGCCTAGCCTCTGCATGGTAAGTGGATTGCTGTAATGTGTCGGAGGTCAGCTAGGGCTGTTTAACGGTTCTCATGACGTCACTTTCAGTCTTGACTACAGAAGGCTGGATGATGGTAGCACCCCAGGGTACGGCAACAACAGGTGGGCTAATAGAAAAGATGTAGGGTTGTGTGCACAATATATGTGTGAGCGACATTTTCCATTTTGTCCACCTTCATGTATCTGCCTAATACCATCAAAACCTTGGATTTGCTCTAAAACCCAGACAGTTGATTTACATAAAAGACAATGGTTGTGTTTGGTGTGTGGTGTCATCAATACTCATTGTCTTTCCTGTTCATCTTTGTATAATGACAGTGCCCAGCAGAGGAACACAGCTGCAAACAAGAAGAGGGCCATACCCAACCAGGTACGTTTTATCATTCAGCTCTGGCCTTTTCACCAATCCCAGATTTAATCTTCTTTGACTGATGCCTCCCATTACCAGTCGATTAATCAACCATGTGAATATACCTCACTCCAGCAACGATTTAGCCCATAGCCATTCATCTATCTTGACCTATCTAACTAGTAACGATACCGCCCCCTGTACATCATTTTGACCACCCAGTCCCAGTCTTCTAATTGTCATATTGAACTGGCTGGTTTTTGTCCACAATGTTTTAAAGTTTGTACTTCTCCTTTTCTGTTTTATTCAGACTGATATTTAGCCAAGTTTGTTGAATTTTAATGTGTGTTTGTACGATCCTGAAACACAATTATAATACTGCTGATGAGCTTTAGAGATTGCAGTCTCAGTCAGGGGAGAGTTGCCTTGGTGAACATAAGACCCTGCTTCCCTGCTTGTCTGAAACAAGCGTTTGTTTCCATGGCTATTATTAATTGCTGTTTGCATGTGACCCAGGCATGTTCTACCGCAAAGCAACAATTAATTACAGAATTATGTTGGTTGTTTTGTTGCCTTCCCATTAACACATAAGCATCTTTTTGTATTGAAATGCAGAATATGCATGGACCTCACACCTATCAACTGAGCAACAAATATGATATAACCAAATTGTGGTAAACTTGAAGTAATTCTAATTGCATGTAACTCTCTTGCTCTGTCTGTCTCTCTCTCTCTTTCTGTCTCTCTCTCTTTCTCTCTCTCCTGCTTCACTTCATGTTTTTCTCTGGTTGTCTCATGGATTCTTGCTTTCTGTTTCCTCCTGTACTTGCTCCCTTCAAACCTGTAATTCTCACCATTTCATCCTCTTTTTTCAACCTGTTCTTGAACTTTTCATTCTCTACTGCCTCTTACTTATTCCTTGATTCATCTTCTCTCCTTTAAACTGTCCACTCCCCCCCCCTTTTGTCCTACCTTTCATCTGTCCCTCATCTTTGCTTGCTTGTTTTCTCATTTCTTTTTGCTATGATTTTACACTACCCCCCCTTTGCTTTAACCCCCCCCCCTTCCTATTACTGCAGGGTGAGATTTTGGTAAGTACCCCACAGTTTTAAACCACACCCTGCCAGGGGGCAGCAGGGGTAGGCCATGCAGGAGAACTAAGGCCATCACACACAGGTCAGCCAAAATGATTAGGGTGGAAAAGATGAACTGCTGTGAGATAACAGAATAAAGAGTTTCCTGCAAATACAGGAGTCGCTGCCCTTCACCGTAACAGGTTGTTCTACCCCTCTGCAGCTTGGCGGCCTGGGAGAGGTCCACGAGGAGAAGGTAGAGTCTCCAAACTGATCGAACTGATATCAGTTACAATTTTAGCATTAGCACACAGTTACCAGTAATTTGGAACTGACTATGCAGGTAATACACAGCAGGTTTGCTCCCATAATTCTTAGTTTCATTTTAATAAGACAGTAATTGTCTTTAACTGAACACATCTGGATTGCTACTAACATTTTACCCTTTGTCTACAAAAGTAATTTAAACAAGAAACTGTGGCACTTTGCAATGCGGACCACAGAGAGAATGGGGAAATCTTCCACCACTGACCGTGGACGGCGTTAGTTCTCATGTCTTCAGGTTTATACTTCTGCTGCTGCCTCATGCATGGTGACTCAAAAGTTTGCCTTGTGAGAATCATCCTAAACATCACTGGGGACAAAATGAGGAGGGGGGTGGGGAGAGATTAAATCATTCTTTGCCATTTTCTAGTGATTTCTTTTTCTTTCTTTTTTTAATGCATGTTAAGTACTACTAAAATCAGTACTAAACACCAGTCTCCCAAACCCTTAATTGATATTTCTGTATTCAAAGCTGATCAGAATGGTCTGGATTTTGTATAGTGACTGGCCATGGCTTTGGGATGTATTTCAACAGTTAAATCAAAATTCCTTGTTAACATCTCTATTTTCAGAACTATCCTTATCCTTATTTCATTCTTATCATTACATTTGTCTTTTTTTTTAATTGGAGTTAATCTCAGATGTAATTGTTTATCTGTAATTATGTTTTACATATTACATTTACAGAAATGGTTTGAACATTTCTCGACAGTTGTCGGTAACTGTAGTACTAGTAATAGTGTAAAAACAACACCCTCCCAACTCATTTTTTCCTCTTTCTTAATGTCAACTTGGTTATAACATTTCCAACCTACTTTAATACAGGGGATTTCCTTGTTTCTGAAAAGTTTAAGTTATTTCCTCGCCAAGGCAAACTACCAGTTTAGCTCCTATGTAATTGCCTCCTCTCCCATATTTGTGTTGGCGCTTTTCAACTAATGAACCTTTTTTTTCCCATAACTCATTCCAGTCCTCTGCTGGATGGAGAGGGAGTGCAGGAGAGCTGTCTAAAGCAAACTTTACTTAGCACAAGATCACAAGTTTCACAGATAGTTTCCCCCATTATACTTGAATTGCATGGGAGTCTGTGTGAAAAAAATGGAGATAAATAGCTAAGAGAGCTCCTCCAAAATGCATGGCTCATTTTTTCAGAGTGATTCACTCAGCTCAGCGTCTCTGTCTGATGTATTTCCTCCCTCTCCATCTTTCCACTTCAGATTTTCACATTGCTGTTAGGATGTCTGTCCCTCTGTGAACTCTACTAAATCAGCTACCTAGGCTCAGCATTTAATCTCTGTCATCTCATTTATTTTATTCTCCTTTACTTGTCTTTTGCACTCACTTCTCTCCATCTTTTACCTAACCAGGTATTCATATAGTTCATATATAGAGTCCAGTTAACCCCACTAACTCTGTTTTTGTTTGAGTTTTTTTTTTTACTACAAGAGCGTAGGCTAGCTTTTACTGACCCGCTGACACTAACATACCACCGTCGACTTTTGGTCTTTGACTCTGTGTCTGGGCTAGCATGGTCTGGACACCATCTGGTCTTGTTTGTTGGTTTAAAGATTTATTTTCTGTTGAGTGAAAAAGAACAAGACTGCATCCCTATCCAGTATTTTCAACTAAACCTTTTGATGCTTTTGTATACATTTAGCCATATCACACAAAGTATGTATTACTGTCCTTTGGTCACTCCATACTTTTTACTAAATAAGTCTCACATTAAATCCGTACTTCTGTGTTGTTGTGTGTATTTAAGTTATATTAGACTCACAGACACAATAGTACTGATTATCAAGATAAAAAGATAAGAGACAACCAAATTTACAGTGACCTAGCAGGTAAGATTTTATTTTTAGTGTCAGTCACAAGGGGCTCTCATGTCACCAGTGCATAAGCCTGTTTGACAAAACTGTTTTCCTCCATCCTCCTGGTACCCCTCTCTCCCTACCACCCTTTTCTCTCTCCCACATCTATGCAGGTGATCAGGAAAGGCTGGCTAACCATCAACATCAGCATCATGAAGGGTGGCTCCAAGGAGTACTGGTTTGTCCTGACTGCTGAGTCCCTGTCCTGGTACAAAGATGAGGAGGTGAGCAAGACTTCTGTCCCACTGCTGTTCACTGGAGACACAGGGATATGGTTAGCTAATATAAGATGACACAGCCCCACAGGAATGCTTAAAGACAAAGATGCTGTATTTGGCTCTGATGACTATCCGAAGTAGAGATTTGGTATCATCACCCACGGTGGCTGGAGGTGTGTGCGTCCCAGCCCAGCCTAACCAATGTGCAGACTACTGTTCAGCTGTAGCCTGATGAACAGGTAGTCTGAACACTGGGCAGGCGGGGGGGTGAGGAGGACTCTGATGGGAGGAAGGACCCCGAGGTCATTGCGGCTGCAGGTCGCTACCCTAGGACAGTAGGACAGAGGGCACAGAGAGTAAACATTTACCCTGTGAAACAATTGCATATATGAAAAAAAGCCACGTACATGGAAAAGGCTGATAAGAGCCCATACTGCTGGGACTCCACAATCTTATTGAACATATATTATTTTAAATAGAGCATAATATGAAAAGCTAACCTTTACAGCATTGCTTTCAACTGATTGGGAAATGAATCTACACATGCCTTGACTGCGTTCCCTTGACTAAATAACTACAGTATGTGCACACTCAGCAAACTCTGCTCTACAGTTTATTTATATTATAGACCTTTTCAAAGGTTGTATTCAAGGACTTGGAGAGTAACATTCATTACAAGGGAAATGTCAGTGAACTGACAAATTGTAAAATCAAATGATCTAATTTTACTGATCATTTGACGTTTAGACTCAATTCAAAACATGGATTTAACAACATTGAACATTTGTCTACCATGATCATAAATGCATAGGATTCATAAATAGCATTGTGATTGCCTTACTCACCGCTTGGTCTTCTTCCCAAGGCCTCTGTCGTATCCACTCTGCCAGCAAAATAAAAAGACCCCTAAAAGATACTACTACAAAGCACTGCTAAAGATGAACTCGAGTCCATTGGCCTCAGTGTGACCAAATACCAACTGGAAATGGGGCATTCTCATGTCGGCCGCTTTATGTGAAGAACCAAAGAGAAATGAAAAGAAGGAGAATGAGAGAGGGAGGATGGTGGAGGCAAACTGACGTGGCAGGCGGGCTGAAATGTTCCAGCCGGGATCTGACTTTGGAATTTGCAGGAAATCGTACTGGGTTACGGGGGCCGGAGGAGGGGGGGTGTGATTGTGTGTGTTCAAGTGTGCATGTGTGTAGGCGCTTGTCCACATGAGTTCTCCTGTATCTTTTAGTGTTTGGGCAGTTGTTCATGTTTGTACGAGTGCATGTTTATGCACCAAAATCCCATAATATGTTTTTGTTCAGGCTCATGTATGTTTGTTTGTCGTTGCACGTGCAGTTAAGTTGTGTGTGTGTGCGCGCTTGTGTGTGCGCGATGGGGGCGGGGGATTGTGTGGAACTGAGTGATGTAACTGTTGGGCCTGCGCCGCACTCTGTGTTAGTGCAGACGTAAATGCTTCCAGATGTCTCTGCTCAACAGTCAAAGCTGGCACCCCATCCCCCCAGAGCTGCCTCATGCTCCTCCTTTTCTTCCTCTCTTCCTCCTCCTCTCCCTCATCATGCGTTTCTCCATCTCACCAGCCTGGTGGTGGTCCACAGTGAGGAAATGCATTCCATCATGTCTGCTCATTGGTGGAGAAGTGTTAGCACTGCTGTCCTCTGTTTTCATATCCATTACCAGAATATATACAATGGCTCACTTTATGAAGCTATAACTTCTTTCCATTTTATTTTCCAGGTTTTAGTTGTGTTCTGCTGTTCACTGTTTTTTTTGTCTGTCTCTTGCTAGGAGAAAGAAAAGAAATATATGCTGCCGCTGGATAACCTGAAACTCAGAGATGTGGAGAAAGGCTTTATGTCCACAAAGCACATCTTCGCAATCTTCAACACCGAACAGAGGTCAGGGTTATGTTGCTCAGTTAAGACACGTGTGAATGCACATGTACCTTATCTTTGTGTTGTTTTGTGTGCATGCATGTCCTTTTGTACTGGGTAAGCCTACAGACTCACAAGCATGTGCGTTCTTTTGTTTATCTGTACAGGAACGTGTACAAGGATCTTCGCCAAATAGAACTGGCCTGTGATTCTCAAGAGGATGTGGACAGCTGGAAAGCGTCCTTCCTCAGGGCAGGAGTTTATCCGGAGAAGGACCAGGTACGTGGGTGGTTGGCTGCATGTAACAGTGCTTTCGGTTTCTATAAAAAACATGAATTTGTTAATATCAAATTGGTCATGAACCTGTATTTCTCTTTTCACGCTTTTAGGACAATTGTCATAATTGCTTCTTCTACAGAAGGTAACTATGTTTTAAGATAGATTTTTATACTTTTTTTTGTTTGTGTGTGTGTTGTTATTGTTAGACCGAGAATGAAGATGCTGCCCCTGCAGACACATTCTCTATGGACCCTCAGTTGGAGCGGCAGGTGGAAACCATCCGCAACCTGGTGGATTCTTACACTGGCATCGTCAACAAATCCATCAGAGACCTGATGCCCAAGACCATCATGCATCTCATGATCAACAATGTGAGTCCCAACAGTCATCAGCAGAAAGGAGCCATTGTTGAGTGTCTGCAGCTTTGAAAACAGACTTAAAATGAAAGAAATGATCTGAAATGACTTTAACACTGTGCACTGTATTTCACTTACGGAAAAATAATAGAGCTGTAACCACTTATTTGTACAGTGCAGTGTGCACCCTAGCATATTTAGAGGGTTAGTTAAAGTGTATCCTCTCACACAAGGCCCTGTGCTACGATAAATGCCGGCAGTAGTAATTTGTAATTCTGCCCATCCTTCATACTAAAAATTAACTTTTTTTACAGACTGTAGTGTCATTACTATGTTCTTTATAAAAGTAATCAAAGTACCTGATAAACTTGTGATCTGAGCTGAGATCAAATAAACTGCTATTTAATTAGGTCTAAGTATCATTGCACCATTGAACTGTGCAATGTTATCTTGTTAATTTTTAGTAGCAGCAGTGGTCGTATATTTCATGTAAACACAGGTTCATAAACTTGAAGACACTAATTAACTAAATGTATGATGCACGCTCACAGTGACTTGTCCACTGTCCCTTTATTAGGTTTTATTATTCTAGTGAGCTCACTTGGTTATTTTAGAAATACACACACACAAACACACACACACACACACTCTGGCCTCTGCTGCAGCACGTCTAAAATGTCTCACTGTCTGTGTTTGAATAATTTTAACGTCCATTCAGGCAAAGGATTTCATCCACTCGGAGCTGCTGGCCTACCTCTACTCTTCTGGGGACCAGAACAGCCTCATGGAGGAGTCGGCTGACCAGGCCCAGCGTAGAGACGAAATGTTACGCATGTATCATGCACTCAAGGAGGCACTGCACATTATTGGTGACATCAGCGTCAACACAATCTCCACCCCAGTACCCCCGCCTGTTAATGACGGCTGGATCCAAGAAGCCAGGTGATAAGTGATATCTAGCATTTGGTATTTTATGTTTTAAATATGTGAGATTAGAAACTGAGAGAAAAAGACGAATCCTTTGCCTTGTAGTATTTTGCTTGCCTGGCTGAATTTGGAAAGAGGTGCAATTACACATAATAGTGCACTGAACAACTCAGCTCCACCTCTACAGGAGAATAAATGAAATGTTTTAGGTGCTTATTATGATGTTTAATTTAATCATATCCTCCTCTCAGCCCAACCCCTCAGCGTAGGCCGCCTCCTTCAGCAGCCCCACCCCCCAGCCGTCCACCTGCCGTTCGGGGCCCAACACCAGGACCACCCATGAACCCATCCCCTGCCTTTGGAGTTCCACTCAACCCCTCGCCCGCCTTTGGTGCACCACCAATCCCATCTCGCCCAGGCCCACCCATCAATGCCTACAACAGCAACATGGATCCCTTCAGTGCACCCCCACAGATCCCCTCTAGGCCAGCCCGCGTCCCACCCGGTGTACCCAGGTACGGCTTATGATGTGATTTACCAATTGTGTGTATGTTGTGCAATTTTTCTGTAAATTCTAATGTTTAATTGCTAAAATCTCATCATCCTTTGTCTTTCAAAAGTCACAGGCATCGTTTTCCATTTCTCACCCTCACCAGTTATCCCATCTCTATATTTAATAGTATTTCTTGACTTTCATTATCCTCTCACTCTTATATTTTTTCTCTCACTCTCCCTCTGTCCTCACCCTCCCTCTTACCCACTGTCGGGATGTTTTGGTTTCTCCTTCTCTCTCTGAGCATGTCTCACTCCGTGTTCTGTATCTTCTCTCCTCGTTGCAGCCGAAGACCCCCTGGCGCTCCTTCTCACCGGCCCACCATTATCCGCCCTGCTGAGCCCTCCCTGCTAGACTAGACCTGTGGCCAAGCCCACCTAAGTGTGTGTGATTGTGTGTGGGTGTGTGTATCTGCACACTAAAGGCCGGGGCCAGGGCGGGGGCTCGAGGGGAGGGGTCGACTGATAGCGGTGCATAATGTACATCGTCCAGCCGTATTAAGAGGTCTCTTCAAGCAATGTAATAAGCTGCTAATACCGTCTTTATCAGTGCACATGAACGAGAGAAAGCCCTTAACCACTTGAATATTACATTTGACTGCTGTGGTAATTCTGTAATACAAAATAAAACCCAGCTGATCTGTAGGATGCATTTAACTTCTATCAGTAGAAGATGATGCATCAAATTCAGTTCAATAGCTTTTTTTTATTGTAATAACTGGTTTATTTCCTATGACAGGGTTCCCGGCAGAAGCTTATTAAATAACTTATTAACTCTTACAGGCTGGCTTTACTCTCCCCTCCCTCCACCTTTTTAGATTGGCCCAGACCCCAATTCTCAATCTCTTTGTAATATACAAACTTAACCTGTTGTTAATGTTTAACTGGGTTTTCATTTTCTAACTGATTTCATACGGGGAAAAAAACAATAGCTTATTATCACTGTTATTATTTTGGCGATGTTGATTACATTTTTTTTTCTTGTGTTATTATATTTGAGTGACTTTGTCCCTTTTAATGATTGTTATAAATGTAGCTTTAAAAATGAAATCCTAATCACAGAAAACAAAGCATAAAAAGACACAGGGCACGGTTGCATGAGACTGAGAGAGTAGCTTCAGCGCGCCCACCCCCCCTCTGTGAATGATCTTTCCTTAATGAAAAGATGCCAGCCAGATTGACCATTATTATCCAAGCACTTCTAACCATCTAGCCTTACAACAAGCCGCTCATAAAGAGGATGCTGTAGTCCGTTCCCAGAACACTATGCACCAAAAACCCAGGAGAGAGAGACAGAATGAAGGCTGTCTGCACTTTGTAGGATGGTTTCTCTCCACAAATTCTGAGTTGTTAAAGCCCTGAATTTAAATCCCTTTAGTCTCAGCTGAACCCCAATGAGACTTTCAGCCTTCGGGTAGACTTTGTTCATTCCTGGATTAGCTGATTCATATAGAGCAGAGCGCACAGTACAGTTTCCTCTTACAGAGGATGAAACTCAGTGAAGCAGCGGGGTGTGTAGTATCTGTGATTTAGAGTATAAAGATGGTATTAAGCGTTTAGGAGTTGGCACATCTCTTTATGGCCTCAGTTGTTAAGGACATGTATTATTGCTATTAGTTCTGCTTTCCCTGCATTAAAAATAGAATTGTATATAGCTGGCCTATACTTGGGGAGTTAGCACTTGTATCTCATTTAATCGCAAGGTTGGTGACAAACACAAGCAATTGATATTAATCAAAGCCCATCATGTTAAAATGCAACTGTAGTTGTCATATTAAAGGAAGCACTAACACTGTCATGTCATAGATTAGCCTTGGATGTGGGGAAAAAGAGATTGGTTATCTCCTGGTGCATTATTTATAACCTGGGCATTTGTCATTTCATTTGATGTTTTTGGTTTCAATTGTATCAGCTCTGTACAACTCAGCTCCCCAGCTTCTCTTGGACTGTTATTTGGGGTTCTGCTACAGGGATTAGCTTTTTTAAATGTGGTGTATGTTGGGAGGGCACTTGGGGCAGGACATTGTCTGCACATCTGTGATTATTTGATAATGAAATTTTGATTGGTCTGTGAGGGTATTTGACCATTTAAAACCAACTTTTCTTGAACATGTTGAGGCCTTTAGGGGGATAATCGGTCAAGCCGGGGCGGACATTGCGCTACTAGGATGTTTTCTGTTTTTGGTTTGATCAGGTGGTGGGAACTGTGGTCTATCAAAGCACACTCTGTCTAGAGAAGCTGTCTAGACTATTTTCAAAAACCAAGGATAGAAACTTGATTTGCCAACCTGAAAAGACAGATAAACTGTAAAAAAAAACAAAAAAAAAAACTCACAGACTCTTGAGACAGTGTGTGCTTTCCTTCCCCTGTAATTCCCTACAGGTCTGGCTTTCAGTGACAGAAGGTGTAAAATATGCTTATAAACAGCAAATCTGAAACCCCTGCTACACAAAAGTTACCACAACTTCTTATTGGGCAACATTTGTTGAAATTCCCTCTTGCCTGTCACTTCCGCCTGCCCTTGAGAAGCCCAGACTGTAAATACCCTGTTATACATTAGGTTGTGGCAATACTGCCTTTCTGCCTAATGGATGTACCCTGCTTCTTCTTTCCCTCCCCTTTCTGAATCTGGTGGAAGGGGTTGGAAACCAACCTGCAAAAATCTCTTTTCTTTTTGTTTTGCAAACCCTTGTCAAGTGCCTCTGTAGCAATTAATTGATTTGAATAAACATGAACTGATTTTAGAATGGAGAGTAAATAAAGAGGTGTTGTGTACAATAAAAGGGACTGGCTCTGGTGGTTGGTGTCTCCTTGTGTCCTGTGTGATCCACTTTTTTCTTCTCTCTTAGATAATGTAGCGCCCCTCCTGGGTGTCCTCTCTTCACTCACCCCCCTCTCTACATCCAAAACCAATACAGACATAAGTCTACAAATGTTCCTATGGCAACCCTCTACTGACAGGCTGTCTGCTTTAGGGAGGGATAGCTCAAACAATGGTCACTGTTCTGTATGTTTTAGCCCATGCATTTTTACCAATTGTAAAGTGGTGAACGATACAATTAACACCTTGTCATAGCAGTCTTTTGTTCCTGCTGTAGTGCATTAATTGATTAAATCATTCCCCCTTAAAAGTTTTAATATTTTCTCTTACAGCATTGAATCAAATTACATTTAAACGTTACATTTCTGATACTGATAAACAAGAAAATAACCTTTACTGTCAAAGTGAAAACAGATCTGCTTTAATTCAATGTTGCAAGAATAAAACATAACTTGTAAGGGGGTGGGAATATTTTTATTGGCACAATATAGAGAGCTCTTTTAAAACATGTCTTTGCTAAATATGTTCAAAACTCCTTTTAATGTAATTCTCTTTCAGCTGCAACATTAATGAATAAATCCAGGTTTACGTGTCTTATCATATCCTCCAATGAGAGTGGAGGATGATCTCTCTAATGATGATCTGGTGACTGGATCCTGTAGTTATTACCTGTCAAAGTGCATGTCACAGGGGTAAGAGATTAATGTTGCTTGATTCTCCCTGAACAGGCGCCCGGCTCCCCGTCGAAACCAGTGGTGACCTTGACCAGCTTGAAGTGGCCATAAAATGACTTCAATCCATGACCGCAAGACTACAGAAGAACTACACATTTTATTTTCCAGTTCAGTCAAGGCCTTGAAGTAATCTGAGACTATCAGTGAAACACACAAGCTGTTATTAGTTATTGAGTCATCAAACTAAAGTTCTTTATAGTGAATGTTGTCAGACCCAAGTTGTAATTGTGTAAAATCTAATTTAAGATATAAATGTCATCCAGATATTTTCTTTCTTGTAGTTTATTCCACACAGTTGCCCAGAAGACTGTAAATTATTTATTTCAAAAACAAACAACAACCAATAATTTGAGATACAGTGTGAATCAACTTTAAGGGATAAATTCCTAAATAGAGTGCCACGGTAAAAAAAAAAAAAAGGCAGTTCAACATTAGAATGTTTTTTTATTTCTATTCTGTGATAACAAAGAAAAATACATTTTAAGTGGTGGCACATGACCACTGAATATAATGTTAAAGATGGCTCAGGAAACTGCGTTGTGTAGGTTTTTACTACTCAGCACAACTGCATGAAACAAATGACTGGAAAGGAAGTGAATGTTTCAGCCAAAAGACTTCACTGTTTTCTGCCTATTTATAACCTCCAGATGGAGAAACTGATCAGGGAGATAACCAATATGACTGTGTGTGAATACATGTCTTTTTTTATCACAGGAAAGACTAAAGATGTGGGTTTTTTTTTTTAACAGCTTGAGGCTTAGTATAATAGTACTACATAGTTGTTTTTTTTTACAGTGCATACTCAGGAGGTGAGGTTTCTGATATTATCTTGGTTTGTTTTGGCTATGGGTTTGATAAAACATAACTTAGGGTCATGAATGTGGTATCTGAAATTCAATAAAACAACATTCCAGTGAGAACAGCTGTGGTTTCTAACTTGCCCAATGATATTATTAACAAATATCAGTGCTCTAAGTATTTTATGTGTGGGTATTTTGTGATATGTTGTGTATATACAGTATGTATCTGTGTGTATGTGCATAGTACAGTACTGTAAATGTGATTTTCAGGTTGATGTCACAAAGTCACAAAACATCAAAGCAATAACTTTATGGCTACAATAAAAAAAGTCCCTAGTGCTTGATGAATCAGTTTCACAAAAATGTAAACTACACCTCTAAATTCCGCTCACAAGGCACATGTTGGTTAAGGATTTTGGGTCAAACTTTCAAGTAGGCGCTGCACTCTTGGCTGGAAATTAATGGAACAGTTTTGTTGTGGCTATGTGCAGACCCGCTTGGTGTCATCAAAGAGGCCTCGCAGGGTATAGATTTGAGTGGCAGCGACGGTGAGCATGACAAGCAGGTTGAGGCAGGACCAGAAGGACACCCGCCACTGGTTGTCCTCCAGAAGATAGCGGTCCCTGGCCTCAAAGGCCCGCAGCACAGTCAGGACCTGACGGCTCCTCTCCAGGTGCCAGTACACAGTGTCTATCCTCACCTGGAAGAGGAAGAAAGAGATAGACAGACAGAAGGAGATGAAAGTCAGTACTGAGATGTGTAGACATCAAAAAGAATGATGTAATATTGATAATTCAAGTGTTGGTTTTGTTTTTCCCCTCTCACCAAGATGTCCTCCAGTTTGTATTCCACCATGCTCTCTGGCGTGGCCACATCCACCCATTGCTCATCTCGCCCTCCACCTCCGCTGCTCTGACTATGGATGATCACCTCAAAGAACACCATCTTCTCTGACAGTTTACTGAAGCTGTTGTCAAAACACAACCTGTAGTCTCCATCCTCTGTGGGATCCACCCTGCAGGTATAAAAAAAAAGGGTTAAGGTCAGGAAAGTTTGAAAAAAGCTGACATTTTACTCCAAACAATATCATGGTTGAGATCTTTCACTGTAATGACACAACAAAGTGTGTTTTATCACTGTTTTTTATATTTATCTCTCAGTAGCTACAGTGTATTTTTTTTTTATTTTTAGAAAAGGATAGGGAGTGCTGATCTGAAATAAAATCCCCTTTTTTATTTTTTACAAGCTTTTATGTATTTTGCGGAATTAACTCCTGACTGCTGCCTTGATTCTTGCTTGTGGTTAATTGGGTTTATTACAAATTAAGAGTAATACAGGGACTGAGCATCAAAGCTAAAGCAGGTTGTTATTGGAAAGCATTTAGGTGACTCACATGTGAATGCCATCAGATCTCCTAAAGTCAGATACTAATCGGTATCCACTGGGTGAGATGAGGGCAAAGCCAACATCCAGTCCTGACCCAGCTATGACCTGTAAAAGAAACAGAAGGGATTGAAACCAGTAATACAGGATATATACAGGCTCACAGTTAGCCAGAACTCGCTCAATTTTCCACTGTTATTTTCACATTTTCACTCCAAACATGCAGCTCATAGCTCAAGCTTCAATCAGACTATCCGTCTGAAATGCAAATTTTAGCCTTGATAGAACACTGAGCAACAACATAGCTCACATAATAAGCCACAGTGATAATATTTAAACAGTGTGGGTATCTTTTTAGGGAAATTCTCTATTTCGCTACCCTACTGCCCACTCTATCAGTGCCAGACACAGTCTCAGTCTCTCAGTCACTGGTCTTCCTCAAGGTTTTGTTTTATCACATCAAGCTACCACTCTCATTTTTTAAAAATGACTAACAGTCTGTCAATGTATGCATAATCTTCTGCCTTTTTTTTCAGTCAAAGAGTACAGTTCTGCATCACAAAGCCTACAATACAGGCCATTGTGGGCGTAGTTGTGACTGCCTGTTGAGTTAAGATTTGAGACCTTTGAGAGCACCATGTGTCAACAGTTCCAGTGACAAAACTGCAAACTCAGAAAGCACAGAGACGATCCTGCCACAGGGAGCAGCTCAGACTGTGACCTTACACCAACTTTCAGGTGTCAGACCATGCAGCAGTAATATTATGATGAATGTGGTGTGATGGGAGGAATTGAATCAATGTAAATGTCAATTAATTGTTTTTTTAATTGTGTATTATCTGACATTTTGAGATAATTAGCCAAAGCCTATGCTTATATGTATATATGTTAAATATGGTGAGTAGCCATTGAAAAACCCATATCCCATGGCCATAAAATCATTAAGGTCAACAACACATTAAGAGGTTTACTTTGGAATTTATTGATTTCTATGTTTAGTGGTATGTTTGAAAAAGTTAAAAATTGGAAAAATATATTTGGCATTCATTCATAATTTTTGGATGTATTTACAATATGATCATGTAAAGGCACGTTTGTGCTCATATAGGATGCATGTTAAGTACTTTTGCAGTGTGTTTTATGGGGGCATTATTTGAGGTATAAGTTCTGGTCTAGTCTATCTCAGGACAGGTGTCTTCAACAACAGCAGCAGTGGTTTTCTTATCTCTCTACGTGCAAGACCAAAGTCCAAAGCCTGTTCACTTGTTTTTCAGTCACACGTTATTCACAAAATATAATAAAGCTGTCCAAAATAAACACAATATTACGCTGTCAATGCGCCAGACAGACAAATGAGAGAGAAACAGATAGAGAGAATATTACATTTACCTGGTATTCAACTTCCATACTGTCGTTCCTCACGGTGGTTTGGTAAAAACACTCTGTGGTGCCAGCAGGTAACAGAAATGTAAATTCCATGTTTTGGTTAGGCCCCACACCCAAAGTCAAGCCACCAGTCACAATCAAACATGCCAGCAAACAAACCTCCACATTCATCATCCTTCGCTCGCAGTGCATAGTCCATGTATTCCACTTTCACCAACTGGAAGCAACTGTGCAGGGGTGGAAAAAGCCGTTTTAATATCTATAGTTGCCTATTTTCATACCCCGACGGTTGGAAAGTAGCCTAACAGTAAGAGAGTTCCCTGATCTAAGCTGAATGAGTGGAGGCTCTGTCTGTGTCACCCTACAGTCTGGACTGCAGCCAACATGCAAAACTGTGACAAGGTGCAATATGCCCATACCTGATGGTGCCTGGAGTATGAAGGCCTGCATGGTTAGTGAAGGTAAATTTGGGAATTTTGTAAAAGTTTTTTTTTTTCAATCTCTCCTCACACTTTTTGTTCTGATTTGTACTTGTTCTCAAAATGTTCTTTTATTATTAATTCTAACTGTTATGCTGTCATGTCCTCTTTTATTCTGTAGGGGGAGCTATGGTTAAAAGGCAGACAAAAAGCAGGCCATACAGCTGTGATATCATGGATGTATTATGGGTAAAGTGAGCAACATAAAAAAAACTTGGTAGGGCACAATACACATGCTTAATGGATGAGTAATCCATGACTCCATGGTGATTTAATGCGATAATTAATGTAGAATTGATACTGAATTCCTGTTGCTCACTAACAAAAGATCGAGTCCCTGATTAGTAATACTTATTGGATCATCAATTTACTTCATACATTAATATACTTACATAAGGCACATGGCCCAATGTCTTCTTCAAGTTAGGGGGGTGGAATATGAGTGTTTTTTAAATTGTATTATTATATTTTTTGTTGTTTTTAATAGAGGAGTGTAGCACATAATAGAAAGGTGCACTAAAACCAAAAAAATCTAATAATAAAATTAGATGAATTAAGATGGACTGACATAGTATACACTGTAATTATCAGGTTTTGTTTGCTTGTGACCATAACAGCTTAGTATTTGCATGAGAATGATGGGTAGGTCTGAAATGCATTTTCCTATGTTACTAGAGTCTGAAGCTAATTTGGTGGCATGTATATCAATGCGAGATATGAGTAACTGTGAATTTAAATCCCATGCATTCATGATTGACTAAGCAATCACACAATCTAAAGTCCCTTAACGGTGAGTAACCAGAATTCATGACACATCCTGCATTATTTCATGCAGTAAATCATTCTGACCACCAGTGTAACTACAAACTTCCAATACTACCATTTTTTATTTAAAGCTACATGATCCTTTGTTAGGGTATGATGTGTTTAGAATTACGTTATCATATTATTATTTTTTAAAGCATATGATGAAGTACAGATTAGAAATATACAACATGATTGAATAGTTTGCTATTCTGATATTCTAGTGTCCATAAAAGATACTCTAGAATAAACTATGTCTTAGTCCCTGCTTAAATTCTTTCAAAAAGTGATGATTGTCATTATAATAGTAGTCATCTCTGATCATGCAGTGTTTTCCATATTGTATGGAGAGTCAAAACGGATGTGTGTTTCCTATAAATGGAAGCTTCGCAATTTTTTTTAAAGCATTTGAATTTCTTAGTATTTGAGAGAGCAGATTGATATGTATTCTGAAATAAACACAGACTCTGCTTCTGTCAGATAGGAGGCCTTTAAAAGGACAGAATCCAAATCAATAAAAAAATAAATGTTTCCTCTTACCTGCAGTGATACTTATTCATCTAGAATGTGTGTGTGAGTGAGTGAGTGAGTGGCCGTTGGCTGTACAGGTGCCAAGCCTCCTTCAAATATAATGGAACCAGATGGCACTGGGCTTGTGGTGCTAAAAGCGCCCAAAACATAGAGGAACTATTTTCTATGTATCACCGTGCAGAAAGAACCAAGAATCAATCAACTATGATTGGAGCAGTTTGGTCTAAAGAAAATAGTTCCTCTGTGAAACTGCTCACAGCTGTGTGTCAGGAATGTGTTTGTGTCTTGTTAACATTACTAGAGACTGTATTTTTGATTTTGTGTTGAACTGCCCCTTATTAGCCAATATTCACAAAATTACTCTCTGGATTTGGTAACCGACATTAAGTTGATATGTACTGGAAGCCAAATCCGCTCTTTCTACTTCACATAACTTCACTTTTGGCTTTGCTTTTGGCCAACCCAATTTTCATGTAACTCAATTGTTGTTTCCACTCTGAGAATCTGGTCTCAATTTAGACTTGCTTTTTGACTCCAGGGATTGTCTAACCAAAAGCATTTGAAGGCCCATTTTGTTTGCCTAACCATGTTCAGTTCACTGTGTTTATGTCCAGAGTTTTTACAGATCTCTGCATGTTGTCTTTTATGTTCAGCAGGTGAATTTCCCCCCAGAGGTATACACTTATTTCTCTCTCAAGTGGAGTGATACTGAATTATGTAAAGGAGTTACACTTCATAGCTGTTATATACAGTTATTATACCATAGCTAACCAATCAGATTGCTTGATTTGAGCTATCTGTGTTGTAATAACAAAGAAGTGATGATAATACAGTAGGCCACATGCTTTTACTTTCTTCGATAGTTGTGAAGTGCACTAAGCAGACCTGATCACATAGTTCAACACAGTTGATAGACGACTCATTACAACCATAAGAGGCTTAAAGATCCGGTGTGTAGTTTCATCTTGCGGTGTAGTGGCAGATTGCGACTCCCTCACTTTACTTTCCCCTTCCAGGCACAAAGGAGAAACTATGGGGGCCGAGAATCGTGCAAAAAATCTAGAGCCAGTGTTTGGTTTGTTTGTTGTGGGCTACTGTTGAAACATGGTTTGGCGTCTGTAAATAGAAAAGGCTCATTCAAAGGTAACAAAAACATAATGATTCCTATATTCAGGTGATTATACACTAATGGAAACTTAGTTATGCATATTATATTCACACAGGACCTTAAAACTTGACTTGAACTTCCTCCTCCTTCCTTGAAACTTACAAAAAACGACTTGTCAGCATCACTGTTGAACTCAGCTGAGCTCAAGAAAAAACAACAAATCGACCCTGTTGCACTTAACATGATATGGTATGGTGTAAAGAAATGCAGCATGAATATACATAATCTTGTTTTACTCAAATTTGGGGCAACATTTCAGTCAAATTGGGCATATTTGATATGGCTGTCATACATTTATGAGCTTTGAGGAAATACCAGCAGTATAACATTTAAAAGAAACACTTATTTAAATGTTTGCAAATACAGATATTCATTTATTTTGTACAAAATAAATCCCTGGAAAGGTTGAAAATTATTTAAAAAATTAATAACAAAAGGTTTAACATAATCTATAATTGGCTATTATCTGCTTCTATTGAAACCTCAGAGTGGAAACTTATGTGCGTGTGTCTGTGTATTTATGCGTGTGTATTTATAAGTAGATGTGACCTACTGCCCGATAGAGCATGGTGTACATTGCAAAGTAAGCATGGCCGGAAAAAAAATGACTTCCTGAAAGAGAAAATCAATAAAAAGATGCTGAAGGTTACATATTAACTGTATGAGTGTCCACCTTTAGTAAACAAGCTAAATCATTCTGGAGTAAAAAGTCATACACACACACCACATGCCTTGCTTCCTCCACCATCTTCTGATTAGACTGCCTGCAGGTGACCTGGGACACGTAGCTGCCCGGAGTGCAGTTGATGGACCCATAGGTGATGTTACTAACAGACAGGAAGTTGGGTCAGAAACAGGTGATAAGCCAAATATTGATGTCTGGGTTAAAAATATAGCACATTGTATGGCAGTGGATAAAATAACAACATGCATTCGATCTTTATTTAAGACGTAGAAGCTTTCTCTGTCAGCTAAAGGGACAATTTGTCCTATCCCACTAAATATCAGTCCAATGAAAAAGATTGTATCAACAAAGCGCCATAAATTAAAGAGTGTTTGGAGGGTTTTACTCTAAGAAGCCCAAGGACAGAGCATTGCACCACACTATCAGCTATTTACTGCCCCAGAACTCAGGAATGTGTATCTGTGTTAGAGTGACACTCCAACAGGGATAAAATCATACTGCCTCTTCGAATCCTCATTCTTTCGAGCTTTCACATATGGGAGTGCGTGAGGGTTGTGTTGAGTCCATTTATGGATGACTTGAATAAAACTTAAAAGAAAAACTGTAGGAGATCATACTTTGTATGCTTTATTTAACAAATAGCTGCCACAATGTATAGCATTTTCAGCCTAAAACGCTTCCTTAATTAATTAGCAAACATACAGTGGTCTAAACCTTCCACTTCACCTCACCCTACACCGGCTGAGTCTGGTGATGTCATTATTTTTATTTTCAGCTTATGCCTCGCAACTCTGCTCTGTCTCCTGCGACAAAGCACAACGGTAAGGCTGTGGACAAAAAAGCAATACATTGTTGAGATTTTAATCTTCCACTCCATTTTGGTTAATAGTCTGTCAGCCCATGAGATAAGCCAGAGAGAGAACGAGTGCAATGCATACGAGAGAGGAAGTGTGAATGGAGATATTTCAACATTGCTATTACAGTGAAGTGGGAGGATGGTAGGGTGGGAGGGTTAAAATGCATTCTGCTTGGTCTCTCAAGTATGGATGTTGCCTTCTACCTTTAGGCTTCGTTACTGTATGGGAAAAATCCACTAAACACAGTTTCATTTTGAAAGTTTGCAGTTACTGAGTGCAGATAGGTGTGAGAGCCTTAAAGATACCTTGGTGATACATCTCAAGATTTCTGTATCAGGGTCTACTCTTTATCTGACTACGTGTGAGCCATCTCCACTTGAACCAACCACATGTGAGCCCACCCATTTTGCTGCTTTTTCCACACCTCTGTGTCTTTCAAGCCTCTGTCTCCGTGACCCTGTTGAAGCAGTACTCTCCGACAACTTTTTCACACTGAATTGGTTTTTCAGTGAGAACACTGTAGGTATGGACGAGAGTGGATATCCATCTGTGTATGTGGTGGACAGCCATGTCACCCGGCCTTCATTGCCGCCCAGGCTGAGCGAGAGGCCACAACGTGCTGGGGTGACACAGACCCTACTGTTCCTGCTAGTGAGTTTGGCGCTGTGCGGCATGGTGATAGAAGCCTGCTTCATCTACCGTCTCCACCAACATGAATCTGTGAGTATCAACCCCATCTCTGGGTCTGCACCTAAAGTACACTTTGCAATTTCATCCTGTGATTTCTTACCAACTGAGAGTCACTCGCTTTTTTGTTTCATAAAATGTTCTTTTGATTCTCACTTTCATCAGAAGAACTCATTCAGCTTCAACACTTTATTCTCACTTTCATTTTCTTTTCTTATTTCTAACAGTTTTCTCCTACTTGTTTTCTGTCACTCTTAACCCAAAGCTCTTGTGTTGTGTATGTTGTTGGTAACACCTTTAAGTTTCTTTTGAATACTAATTCAACAAAGTTTACACATTCACATTCTTCTTCTGGTTTGCGGCAACATATTGATTTTATTTGTTTATGTGTTATTTTATAACACCTGAGTTCTATGTATTTATACGATACTACATGCAAAACTGTAATGTAATTATTTGAAGTGAACTAAATATGTATTGGTACTATTAAGGTAAAATAGACAGATTACAAGACCCCAGGAAGATTAGAGGCACATACATGGACTTTTAATGGGAGCCTTAAATAATAAACAATAAACAAAGAGAGCAAAATATAGAAATTAGAGATCTAAATAAATATTATATATTATAGAAGCAGCAGAATTTGTGTGTTGGTTTTCAGAAAGTTACTGTAAAATTTCAATATTGTGAGTTTTAATAATTAAATATACAGTACAAGGTATAAACGCAAGGACAATTACCAAATCTCTTACATAAGTTTTTGATATATGCATTTCACAGAGTTACATGCTACGTGTGCTGTCATACCCGTTTAGTGAAGCAAAGCAAAGACATCAGTAAACCAAAGGACCCTCGTGATTGAACAAAGCTGACGTTTACTCCAGTCATATGAATGATTGTTTTTCTCCAAAAATTGCTGACAGTGAAATAATTTTACTATTATGGGGAAGAAAGTGGAGTAGAGATGGAGAAGTACATTAAAGTCCGGCCCAATTTCTTGGAACCTTATTGACGTCCCGGGGGTCAGAAGCGTGCATGTTCCACATGTTCCACAATGGTGAATGGTCACTGTTTTCCCTGCATCACTGTGACTCAGTTTCCTGTCCTCATCTGATGCTCAGTTTGAGCGCAGCAATCACGGGTTTGGGTAGGGGGAGGGGTACTTTTTGGTCTAACTCTGTCTGACAGTCAAGGGTGCATATAAACAAGGGATGGTGGAGAAACGGAAGCGGTCTAGTTCCTGTAGCATGATCATGATCTACCTTTTGCTCATTACCAGAAAGACAGACCTGTCCTACTTTGTACTTGGTCCTTAAACACAATTCAGATTACATTATGCAAGTGCATTTTGTATATCTTATTTTCACAACTTGGTTGCATATCCAATGCAATGGTAAATCTGTTGCACATTTGCATGCGCGCACTCACAAACAGAAACACAAACATATATATACATGCAACTGACAGGTAAACCATTTTTATATCCATTGCAGGGCTCCTCAGCATCACCCTCCAAGCTCATTGCAGGTGTGTATTATCACTTTTCACTCAGTTGATTCATATTTTCAGTTACGCAATCCACATCAGTTACATTATGTCTGGTCCTCACGCAGGTGAAGATGTTGCTGCTCCAACTAAAAGGCCCAGTCTTGTCACTCCTTCCAAACCAGTTGCACATCTGACAGGTGAGACCAGTGTTGATGTCCATTATATTACTGCAGAGTTCAATGTATTACAAAGGCAGAAAATAGATATTGTTATTGCTATTGCTATTGCCAGTAAAATGAAGGCACAGTTATTAAAGTGTGGCATGGGTGATCATGTAGTTCGAGCAAAAATACCTCTATGATATAATGTATTTATCATTTTAATCCCCCTGTTTTAAAAGATTTAGACTTCATATTGTTTTTTTTGTTTTGTTTTTTCCCAGATGGACAACATATAGTTCATGGAAAGAAAATCATGGCATGGAGCATGGCTGCAGAACCTCTCCTCTATAAGATGTACTACAAAGACCAATGTCTTGTCATTCAGAAGGAGGGTTTTTACTATGTCTATTCCAAGGTTTCCTTCAGAGACTCCAATATATTTCACCATTCTATTGAACTGAATACAACACTGTACTCTGGGAAAAGTATTACCCTCCTGTTGTCCAGAAAATACTCAGAGGGGTCCAGCAGTAAACGATCCAACAGTTACCTGGGTGGAGTGTTTCACCTCCAAGAAAGTGATGCCATCTTTGTGAAAGTGAGCGATACCTCAAAAATTGAGCGACACAAAGCCTATGAAAACATATTTGGTGCATATATGATATAAATATCACATTGATTATTTCACAATAATCTGAAAGCAGTTAGAGTAAATAGAAGCGGATGGAAAATCTTCTCAAGGATTAGAGATTCTTTGTAATGCAAAAGCAGGTCAGTAAGCAGAAATCGAGGCAGGTGTGAAAACCATCATGAAGGTCAGGGCAGGTGGCTTTCTCTTTCGGGGGTGAAACGCTTCATTTTTTTAAATTATGTTGAGTGACAAAACTCTTTTTCACATCAGAGACTTTTTATATGCTTACTTGTATACTTATTTTTATACAATATATATACTTGTTACAAAATGACTTGTCATAGATGGATTAAAACAAATCTTTCATACATTGTTCAGTCTCCCTGAGCTTCATATTATTGCTGAGTATACATTTATATGCGTTTATATGTTCATGCTAAAATTAAAAAAAAATAGAAATTGTAACCTTGCGTATTTCTTTTCACTCTTGCTGTGGCACATACAGCACATTATTTATTTATTCCTCTAGTGGTAAAAATGAATGATGTAACTGCTTTAATTCTACTGTATTTATGTACAAGAATATGTATGAAACAATTAAATAAACAGATGATGATTTTACAGTCTTGTTTGGTGGTGTTATCAAGCCCTTACTCAGGCCGTCATGTAGATGAAGCGAGCTACTGTGTGCACTTCCTGGTGAAGCTGCTCTGGAGCCTTTGCTGAGTGGTCTCAGTAGCAGTTTTCACCCACTCACTCAAACCACACAACACTCTGTTGACGGGTAGCGTTTTTAAAACCACAGTGACACATATCATTTAAGTGTAAGTATGTTAACCACCTTTAAACAGAAAGTGTCAATTGTAAAATACTGGTTTTACAGTAAAGCAATTTGACTTATGTGACAAATGTACTTCTCTTAAGGGTTGGGAGGGACAATAGATGTATGGGGCAGTATTCCACACATTTGAATCAGCCTACCCATTTACTGTAAAGCTATAGATAATCGTTTTTAATTCATCACCATGGTGACAGGCATGGCGACATGCATGTACAAACAACAAGCCTCATCACTCTGTGGAGCTTTTCTTTTTTTTTCTTACGCTTTCCCTTCAGATGTGTCTGTTCGAAGAAGCCGCTCTTGAATACACCCACAGAGTTGTATATTTGTAAACTGGAGAGGAAGTGGTAGTGGGGGCCGCTGGGAGGGAGGGTGGGGGTGTCAGCAGATTGCCTGACTCACTTTCCAACCCCAGATCCGGAGAGTAGCGGCTGGTGAAGGTCTACTGTAGCAGGACTGTGTGTGTATGTGTGCATGTATATGAGTACAGGTGGGTGTGTAGGTTAAATGAACCTCAAATTCATTTTCCCTCAGGCTCGTACTACAAGTTTTGTTCAAATCAGTTGAACGCGCTGAGTTGAAACTAATTACAGTTCAGGGTTTGGATATATAGAGTCTGAATGCATAACTAAACATATTATCTGTCAAATCATGGGTGGCCTTGGCTCAGACGTTTTACACAGTCTCCTAGTGTTTTCATGAATTCCTCTCTCAGTGCATGTGTGAGTCATTATCTTCCAGCGCTGGCTGACCTGTGAGGTGTGAGAGACTATAGTAGCAAAGGAGGGGGAAATGTAACAGCTGTGTGGTTGGGATTCATGATGCTGGTTTTTCTCTCGTCATTAAACTTTGGTCTAGCCATGACTTTTACAGAGAATCTGTGTGGGATGAGAGTACTCTATAATTGGCTATAATCTCAACAGTATTCACACTTCTATATATGAAACGAACATTTTCCATTTATAAAGCGGTACTTTGTTGTCAGATATCAATGTAAAAATGTGTTGAGCCACTGTACACGCCACTTTGGAAATAAACTACCACTAGTTTGTCACGTAGAACCATTCTTTTACAGTGAAGCAACCTGTGATGCCTAGAGCGAAGCAAAACTGAAAGGGGTGGTCATGGTACACAGAAAGCAGTCCATAGCTAAATGCTGTCCTCTGGTGTTGGTCTCTAGATGAGGTAGAGTAGCAGGTGAGTGCTACATTTCGGTTATCTGTAAAGCTGTGCATTCAGAGGGTCCACTTTGCTTCTGATTTACTGAAAATATCTTTCACTCACGAAGTTCATGCCATTTCCTTACACATATTTGATAGTAATGTCATTCTTAATCAAGAATCATGTTGCTGTTTACCAAAAATCATCTCTCATATCTTGAATTTTGGGATGTCTAATGTATAATATAATCAGTTGGTTATTAATTGGCAGGTACTTGCAGTCTCTGAAAAATAACAGCAGAGCGCATCATTCAATGACTGAACACTGAAAACTTATCCAATAATGCACAGTGACGTTTGGGTGATGAGGGTTTTCACAGAAGCTGCCACACTTCTCTATGTGGATACACAACTTTTGTACGCCTGTCTTAATTGGGCAGTGGAAAGCAATGGTAGGAACAAACCAACTCATGCAGACATGTCTAATATATAAGACAGAGTGGGTGGTGTCTGCTATCTGCATTTGGATTTAACATCTTGGACCTCCCTTTAGTGTAACTGAAAGTTGTGGTGGCAACAGCTAATACAGTGAGTGGCAAAAGATATGGCACTCTGCAGGATTGGAAAAGAACTGTTTTCAGATGAAACCTGGTAACCTGGAAAATGTGTATCTCGGCTGTGATGACTAATATCATGTTCCAGTGACCTTTTGTGTTTTGTCTCTCTATTGTTGTAATGCAGGTCAGTAGACATGATGATGGATGTTTGTGTAAGGCGCAGATTTTTTATTTTGCTTTGTCAGAGTCTGGCAGGCATATTCTTCGACAGCATATGGCAGGGAGGGTCCCCCTGTATCTTTCTATTAAGTGACTCACTATCTGCGGGGTCCCACTGCTAACTTATGACCTCTCACTTTCACTTTATATCCAGGGTCTCGAAAGTGACTCACAGTAAAATGCTCAAATTCATCAGTGTAATTTCACTCGCTCGTCTTAGCTCCATATTGGGGGTTTAAATACGTCAAATATAATAAACATTATGAAAAAATTATAGCTTTTAATTATAACATTGTTACATTATTTCAAGGCAGCAGTTATGTTGATATCGTCGGATGTAAAGAAACATGTTTAAAGGTCCCCAGAACAAATGCAATGCTTTTTTGAATGCATAATTACACTAATGTACACACATCATCAGGAGTACAAGCATTAAAAAAAGTGAAAATCATTGACAAAACCCAATATTTCTTTCAATATCTCTTAACAACACATGAAACTTTCCGCATCAACCACCTTGAGTTGTGATTTCATGTGTCATAATGTGTGATACAAGTAGTGAAGGAGATTTGGAGGTTCGTTATATCAAGTCATTTCACTTTTCATTTTAAATTTACATATAAAAATATAATATATATATATATAATACTAAATATATATATAATACTAATTTATATGATATAGTGGTTCTTCTTTAAATGTTAAAAACACGAAAATTCTAAACAAATAAATCATATCTATATTTTAGTTCTTTTATCTTTTTTCTCCCTTTCAACATTTATCAACCACGTTATTACATATTATTGCAATTATTAATAAAGAAAACTGTAAATACATTCCAGTGACTCACTAACAACAGACAAATGCATATACACAAGGACATACATTGTCACACAGTGACATACATTCATTGGTTTTTCGCTGTCTATGCAATTTAGCTAAATATACTGTATATATTTTAGGCCCAAACAATAAATAAATACAACATAAATATGTAATTCATATAGTTCAAAACAAGAAATAAATCAAGTAGCAAATAGGAGCTGTGCAAAAACAGAGCACAGTTCTGCCAACAGGTGTGGCACTTCAGAATAATACATTCTTGCTGTTAACTACTACACATTTTAAATCTAAGAAACTCCAACTAGGAAATACAATTTAAGGAGTGGTTTACTCTGAATATCTGGTTCACTGACTAAAAGTGTGCTCCTTGATCATAGCTATTTGAGAACAATCCAACTTTGCTTTTTTTAATTCTATACAATACACACGGGAATATTCCCCCAAACCTACATTACACTGTTAAACTGTTATTTCTATAGTTCTATACAGCTGAGTTTTAAATTGTGAATTTAAAGTCTCTTGAGTACAACAGCAGAGGAACACACTTGTAGTGATGACATCAACCTTAGAACAATCCTGAGCTGCTATATAGTATATTTACTTTACTGGCCAAAATAATTGGACATTGAATCAAAATAAAATCTGTTTCAGGGTGGATTTTTCTTTTTAGTTGACCAGAATTTAACAGTGAGGTTTTTACCCAGCCTGTGGGTCTTCAATGTTGAATCCAACCCCTTCCTCCATTCTCTGTGACTCAGTCACCACTTTGACTGCAGGAAGACAGTTATGTGATTTGCTGATCTGGTGATCCCAAGGCAATTACAGAGATCTGTTCGGTAACGAGAGCAACAAGTACACTCTACCATCTTTGCCTCTGAGCAGGTTTGCTGCAGAGTGGGTCCCAGAACTGGATAAGTGTCCTGGAACATGCCAGGGATTTAAAAAAAAATATATATATATAATGTATCAGAGATGCATCTAAGGTTTGAGCATGTAGATGATATCCAGGTGGGTAAGATGTTCAATGTCATCAATTTCAGTGGTTGGCAGGCTGATGTTGAACACCAGGGTGCCTCCAGCAGACAGCTCCTCTACCTTTCCAAGGAGGCCCGTGGTGCATGTGTTTCTGTTAATCCCACCCGTCAGGACAACTTTGTCATTCCATTTCAGACTGACATTGTGATCCGATTCCTTGTTACATTCCTTCGATTCCTTCTTCAGTGTCACCTGAAGATTTAGGAAGTAATATCCATCCCTATTTATTTTCAGATCTTTTCCGTCTACTGAGACCAAGTCGTTATTTGGATTCATTGCTGACCATTTCATTCTGCCTTTGGCTGTGGGTGACAGAAAAGCTGCTATTAGCTGTGAATTTGTTTTCTTAGAACTTTATTCTGAATACCTTGGGTAATTTCACATGAAGCACATGTGAATCAGTGATTCACTGAAATTGTATTGGCAGGAATTAAATATTTCCTCTGACCAGGACATTATTTGTACTTTCAACAGCTTGTGAATGGTGACATTTTTACAGCCTTTGTCATTCACACTGAATAAGGGAATACAAAAATAGAACAACCTTACCTTCAATAGCCTTATAGGTGAGCATTGTACCTTCTCCGAAGAGAAGGCCATGGTCTGAGGGAGGCAGCTGAAAGAGGAAGAGATTTATTAAACTCGAAACATAGAAAAAAAAGTCTACATTATATGTGGTTCCTGCATGGCTCCCATGATGACACACAGACCAGATACATTGATGTTGCTATTTTTAAACATGGTGATGAGACCAGTACCTAAGTCTTAAAAGTGAGAACAGAATAGATCATTCAGTATCTTCAGAAGGAAAATGAAGAGACAACAGTTTAGTTTAGTGGCATTTCCCCGAATTTGGCAATGACGTCATTGTGCTTCCTCCAAGACGTGAGGAGAGTGACTGTCTGACATAAGTCACTGAGAAGAAAAATAATTTGAGCTAAATCTGCCTGGTCTGCAAGATTTCTCTGACTGGAATATTTTGATTGCAAAAACTGACAACAAAAGCATGACATCTTAATCAACAAGAACATGTGTGTTCATATTGTGAGAATAACCAACACAACACAGTGAAGTCAACAGGAGAAGCACAAGCTCTGAAGCTGTGGTTATCTTACCGAAGCTGTATTGTTTGCCTGGGATTGCACTGTGCGCTCTGGTGCTACAGCGCTATTGTTCTGAGACTGGAGAAGGAAACAGAAGCACAAAATATGCTCATAATAAATGTTACAAGATGGTTTTGAAACACAAAAGTGCCGGTGAATGAATGTTGTTGGTGCGATAACGCCATTTAAGTTCACTAAATGGCAATTGAATTAAATCTTTTTTAAACAACGCATTATCTATTAAAATAATTCTCCTGTAAAATATTTAACACGCGATAGTAGTAGTCAATCATAGTGCTAGACTTATGTTTTATTATAGCATTATAGCAGTTATGCTCCATTATAGTTTTATTATCTCTGCAGTATAGATTGAGACATTTCTATCTGATCAGTTTTTTTTTCTATTATGCAAAAATTTCCGCTGTTTAGAAGTCATTACTGGGGTATCTGTAACCAGCTGCAGACCACAGGCAGGGGTGTCTATCTCACCAGCTGTGCTACTGCCAAAACCACAAGAAAGAACAGATGCACTACACAGGTGTATGTGTAACACATTCAAAACATTAATCCTATTCATTCAAATGCCACAGGGTATGGCAAAACTTTTGTACAAGTTTACAAATTTGTATCTCATTATTAATGATCATGGGATATTGTAGCAATCTGTAAATTCAATCTGAGGATATTTTAAGAAGTCTCACCAGTCCACGATGTCCAGTTGTGAAGAAAAGGATGATGAACACAGCCTGGATAATGGAGAGGGTGGTGGTCCACAGCAGGAGGACATGGATTAGAGAATTCTGGGTAGGCTGTGGCATCGTCAGTCCGACGGCAGAGCTCAGAGTGGCCTGAGCCTTGGGAGTGTAGGCAGACAGATGTTCAAGGCTGACGACTCTACAGTTTGTGAGTTTCCTCTGCTGTACACCAAAGCAGTGTGTGTGTTCGCTTCCTGAGCTCAGTGTGTGCATGTGATGAGGACGTTTTGATGTCTGACGGTGTTCTGCTGTGCCCTGAGTATCTATAGAACAAAGACGAATCCAGATGGTACTTTCCCCTGTATATACAAGTGAAGACAGACACAGGAGGGCCAGATTGTATCTGCATCTTGGGGCTGGCCCTTTCCTCCTACTCACCACAATTTACACAAAAATGAGGAACAAGACTCACTACCAGGGAGAAAAGGAAGGAGTTAAGAACTTTGACATGAATTAATTCCAAAATGAATCACTCAGTTGCTTATTTATGATGAGACTATGAAGAGTGTTTGGGTGGTGGTGGTGAATTAGGACTGCTGTTTTTGCTCCCATTTCCCCCCTTCTTCCTCTATATGTCTTTATATTAAACATGGTAGAATACAATTACTCAACAATGTTCTTATCCTTCTTTCTTTAAGTATATTGACTCAACATACTTAAAACTACTCTGGGGCAGGATAAGGGTTGATCAGAACAGTTAATCAATAATCTAATTTATTAATTCCCCATTGCATGATGGAAGCTTTAATCCTGAAATGTTAGATCTTTGCTGGCTTAAAAGACCAGAAACAATAGTGATAGAATTAATACAAAATATACAAAAATAAGCAAAAAAAAAGTTTATGGGCATCAATATTTCAGACCTTATTGCATCACACGAGAGAATAACTTATGGTGTTATACATCCTTACTGTGTAAATGCTAATTCCTTTCAAATACTACTTTTTCCTCATTGGAATACATACATTACAAAATTGTACTTCTTTAACTGCTCAACAAAGAATATGTTGTTAACAAAGTATTTAGATTAAATCATACAACCAGCACTTAAACATTATCATTATCTTATCTCTTATCTGACTTAACAAGAAAATAGAGCAAATGCAACAAACAAAATGCCACAGTCAAATTAGTAGTGGAACTCAAGTGACAAAATGTCATGATATGTTGTTTATTTTTTGCACTTCTTGAAACTTCCCACCTGCATCTAAATTTCTGCTTGAGGTCAGTAAATGTGGTTTCACTTTCTCCGTTTGTACTTTGCCTGGGGAAAGTTTCATGGCAGCAAAACAGGATGGGCTTTGGTTCAGGTATGCGTCATCACACTGAATAGAGGACTCAAAGACAAAATGATACCTGTTGAAGGTTACCTTTATGACTGGCAGTGGTCAAGTACCCAGTAACAAACAACATGCCCAGACATGTTTGTGTAGTGGCTGAATAAATGTATGTATACTACAGTACAGTAGTATACTAGTTAAAACAGAACATATCATTTCAATTGGATTGGAAAGCAGAAGTACAATTGTGTTTGTGAGAGTCAGCAGTATTTAGTCATGTGCAAGTCTGTGATGACAAATACAATAGAGGAAAATAAAATCGTTTCAGAAATGTTTGTATCTTAGTTATGCATTTTTAGGGGATGTAACATTTTCCAAACAAAAGCTGAACTAAATAGTATAACCCTGGATGAGTCATAGTTTCATTTAAGAAACACAGAGCCAACCCGATGTTATAACTCATTAAAAATGACCTACGACACAACATTATTGGAGTGGGCAAGGAAGGATACTAGTGGTAATTTGCTACATTAATAGAAGAAACAGTTGCACGTCATTTCAAAGACGGATGGAAAATTAGATCAGAATCATCTGAGGGCGATGACACTAACATGTAGATTGTCATAGACTGACAGTGACTGCAATACATGTAACAAACAAAACACAACATTGGTGCTGATATTCAAAGTATTACTACACCATATAATAAAGTCCTTACATTGACGTCCTTTAAAACACATTACAAAGTGATATCAAATCAGTAGAGGAGGAATCATTGTGACTCCAGCCATTTTAGATCCACTACTACACATTATAGTATGTTTACTTCCTCTGATTGTCTGGCCACTAAATGATGATGTACAGCCATCTAGTGGATGCAGTGAGGGATTCAAAGACAAGCCACAGGTAAGAACACTGCTGGGGTTTACAAATGTGCTTATAAGTACATGAAAAAAGGTAATAGTAATAAATAACAATACTTCAATGGTAGTAATATATAATAATAAATAGAAATAGATGATATTAATATGTGGACCACTCTGTAATCCTATCTGCCTATTAGAAATGACATTTGTTCAAATGTATCTTCAGTGTCTAAAAACTGCAGTGGAGAATGGAAAATGAAAACATCAATATGAAAAGTAAACAGAAAATTACCAGCAATATATAAAAGTGTCCTGTCTTTTACTTTTCACTCCCCTTCCACATTTTCCTTTTTCATCTTTCTTTTTCTTATTTGGGGTTTGTATAAACATCAATACACATTTAATCAGTTGTACACCAAAATCAAAAAGTACCAAAACACCAGAAATTTGAAGACAACCATTTGTCAGTGAGGGCTTACTAGCTGGTGTAAACATTTGTTTAAATGTAGATTTTGACCAGTTTGGTGTGAATTTGCTTGCACATGAGCATGAGCAATTACAGTACAGGTATTTCAAGGAAAGAATAGACTTTATAGTTTTAGAAAATGATGTCAGATTAGATTGGATGGAAGTTAGATTAACTGTAAATCAAAGAATGACAGACTGACTGACAAAATGAAACTGAAAGAAGCAGATGAGAAAATGGAAAACTGAAAGAGAAAAAGAAGTATTTCATATTTTCCTGCGCATCTGCAGTTTTCGATTTCATTTTATTCATTCAATAATGGCTCAATCATTGTCATAGTGGCTGAAATAACTAATCTATTTTGCATTTTGAGTCAAATCAAGAAGCATAGGTGACAATAAATATGATTGTAATTTACACAAAAAGCAGCTTTAAATGTAACTCTTGTAAAAAATTCAAAGAATGCCCTTGTTCCAGTTTCTCAAATATTAATATTTGCTTGTTTTTTATTTATTTATTTTGATAAATATTTAGGCTAGATCTTATAAACATGTCAACTTTGGCTCTGAGAAATTATCCAGGGTGGTTTTATTTTAATTGAGCAATACTAATAATATCACTAATAATAATTAGATGCCTAATTATATGTATGTGCAACAAAAAACAAAGCCTTGATAGTTTGAAAATGCTTAGAAACCTTGAAGAGATGAAGCAGCTGTGTCTTTGTCTTCACACCAGGTGGCAGGAAAACTCTGACTACACAGGAACAACCAGGAGTTCATCGCTGAGGAATCAAATTGCCTTATGCAGCTAACTGATTGATTTAATAAACAAAATGCGTGGCAATGTGCATTTTATAAGCTTCCATAAACTTCTCATAAGACTCCCGAGGGAAAAGAGTAGGCTATATGATGTGCTCAGACTGTGTTTTGTCTGTCTGTAGTATGTGTGTTTTATCTATCCATTGGCAGACAGTGAAACAGCAGCAGTCGATATTGTGGAAAAATCAAACTGCGAGGCTGTCTTGCATGTTTACAGGCACATATGGTGCTATGGATATGATTATATTATCTTAATAAAGGATGATTGATGACTTTTTCTGGGCAGCTGAAATCGCCACAGAGGAGGCATTAATTGTTGCATTATTATTAGTAAAATAGTAAATGTTGTTTCTGTTCTAATGGTGAAAACGAAAACAAAAATCCCCTTTAAACCTGCGTTATTATTATGGAGAGAGGGGGCTGCAGGAGCTGTATGTGGGACGTGTCCTTGCATGGGTGGGACATTTTTTAATGGGACAGGAGAGTGCGCAGTGAAAGCGAGCAGTCCCTACACAGCTGTCAGGTCAGGTGGATCGAACATGTTGTGAGCTCCAGCCTCGTCGTTACACATTGATTTTGTTGGGTGTTTTTTTTTTTTTTATTACCGCGGAGGTCAAGTCAAACCGAATAACACCGGAAATTACGAGTTTTCATACCAAAATTAACGTTTCGCTGTTACTCGACCAACTGCGAGACTAACACTCACCGAGAGGGCATTTTATTTTGAAATCTTGAAGCAAAGAGGTCTGTTTTTCATTTATGTTTGACACATTGTGAATGGTGTTCTGTTCAGGACGGTTTTTTTTCAGAGCAGAGTACAACACGCTCCCTCTGCGAAGTTGGTTTAAAGTTGAGTTGAAGTTTGTCCGCACGGCTGTGTTCCCTCCCTTTTTTTCCATTTAGCTCCGACCTTTTCTATTTTTCTCTCTTCCATTTTGCTCTTTAAATTGACAAGCGTGTGTAACGTTTACGTCAACTGATCGGTTGTGTTGGCTGACCGGGGTCCGCTGCTGTCAAACTTTCGTTGACATGGATTTGTTGCGCCCACGACGGACGGACTGAAAAAGTTTGGAATTTCCATCATCCACCAGCTAGCTGCGACAAAACGCACTCATTGCAGCTACTTTTTGTAAAAAATATATATACATATAAACAAGTTGTCATTAGCGTATTTAGCTAAAAACATGCAAAAGTTCAATTCCACCGGCACCCACTGCAACACCACGCTGCCCCGGGACGCGGAGCTCCAGCTGCGGTTAGCTGACAGCGGAGGAACCGGGGAAGGGAAGGAGAACGGCGCTGGGAAACATTTCGCTCCGGCTGAGGAGGAGAGCTCGTTTTGCACCAAGAGGAAGATGCTCGTCGGTTTGGATTTAATATGTCTGTGTGTCGGTAAGAATGGGTCTGTTTACTTATCTTAAATTCATCCGTTTTGATCATAATTTCATAATTTCAATTGAAATGCACCACTGACACATTTAACATAACTTTGAATTTACTATAATAAACTTCTAATATTTTTTAAAGGACCCCCCCCCCCACACACACACACACGTTTGTCATGTAGTGTTTTGCTCGCACGCATATGTAAACAACAGCTTTTTTTTTTATATAAGGAGGTGAAAAGAGGCTGGGAAAAACAACAACATTGCATTGGGATTTGTTAAAGTTAACGAAGCTGCAAAGCATTTTTCCAGAAGTCAAATGGAAACTGTTCAAACGGGCAGAAAAACAGCTCGTTCCCCTCGGTGCACGTGGGGGGCTGGAGCGAGGGAGGGAGGGAGAGAGGGAGGGAGGTGGGAGCTCAGCTGGCAGGAGCGGAGTTGTCCCGGGAATTCATCTGTTCCCATGGTAACCCCCCCAAAGTTCCCGGCAGAAGAACGTGGGAATTGGGATACAAAACATAACCCCCGTGCTTGTGTCCTCGTGCCGAAAATGACCTCTGTTCACTGAGCGCTTTCGCCACTGTCACTGCGGGACGGCTGAATGTCAGCCGCAGGTAGTTAACAGTGCTCAGCTGGAAGGTTGCACAGGCTAATAATTCAATAACATTAACCAGCAGTTATTCCAAGGAGAATAAGACACATCAGTAACAACATGTGGACAACAACCCAGGGGCCACTGACAGAACCATGAAGAAAGTAGTAAGAAGTAATCCATCCATCTTTTTCTTTTTACATTTTATTCCCTAGTTTACAGTGTTGACACTAAAGACTATTAACTATCACAATATGAGGACTTTTTGCTTATTTTGTGCAACCAGAAGTCACAAACCCAAAGGCAAGTTTACAAATGTCTTGTAATTTCACTTGATAAATTAACAATATATAGATAATCCAAATTGTCACATTAACCATGATCAGCACTTATCCATCATATGGACACATATAATATTATAGTGTGATAAGATTTGGTAAAATTGTGTTTTGATTCAATATAGAGCAGCAAAGATCATTATGTTAGGCAGGATAGCTGAGACTTAATGTGATCACAATTACACATTCTCCCATAGTTAATAAATTACCGTAATAATGAGATTGTGAATCTGAATCCTGTAGTTACATTAATGTAGCAAGACCAAATCCATCCAAAACAGGAATTATTAGCAGTAATATCTTAATAAGTGCCCATGAATTTAAAGATGTACTATTGTTTGTCCATGTGGTGCTAGGTAGATCTGATCCATGTGTTTCAAACTATAGAAATGCAGCATATTTTCTGAGATAGTTCTATGTTTTCATGTGTGCGTACATCAATCTGCAAAAGAATCTAGTGACTGAAGCAGTCAGAGAAATGTAGGGGAGGAAAAAGAACAATATTTCTCTCTCAAATGTTTGTATATGTATATATATATGGGAACACTAGTGAAATGCCATTACTTGAGTAAAAGTACTTAATTATTTGGAGAATTATCTGAAATGAAAGCTCAGGTTTACTGTGGCACCTGCTGTGCTGTGACTGTGATATTTAGTGAAGAGTGTGTTCAAAATATAGTTTCATATAGTTTCATGTCGTCATCTCACATGACTATGTCTAAGGGAAGGGAGCATCAGTGCTGATGTGTGAATGAGTGATTATGCGGACCTGCAGCAAACATTAGAGAGGCTGAACCCGTCTAGGCAGACTGACAGGTCTCAGCCTCATTGGCAGTTAAAGCATACAGAGGCAGCCTGGAAGACAACACGACAGTTTTCATTGCTGTGCCATTTTTAACCCCTGCAGGTATGCTATTAGCCGTTCACGCCGCACACTTCTCAACAGCTTTGTTTTGTGCCTAGGAAGTGGCTTCGGTCCAGCATCGGTCAGCACAACGACCTCCTAAGACACATACTGAGCACACCACTTGCTTTCCCACAAAATTGCGTACCCTAACCTCCTCTTATCCCCCATCTGACTAGATTACAACACAGAGACTGAGTCTTGGAGCCTCAAGCTAGACACAGCTGAGAGGATTTTGAGAGTCAGTTAGTCTTGTGACTAAAATATTCTTTTGTAAAGTAAAAAGTTAATCTTCTTGCTGTTGATGTAACTACCGCAAAAGTCCTGGTGTGATTTGATAGGTTGATACATAGCCATTATTTTATTTTCAACCTTATAAAGGTAGATAAAAACTCATTTTCCTGACCCATTAGGTGTAGTTTTTTCTGCAGCACAAAACAGTACAGTTATATCAATCACAACCAGATGGGGTCATCTCAGATCAGTAACACCACCTGTTAAACAACAGAAATTGTTCAATAAACTATGTGCACTGAAATGAGAGTATAATATTGAACAATACAGTACAATGTAACATATTGTTTCACCCATGCTAACTGGTAGAGTTTATGAGCTTTTAGATTACTTACAGATTCCCGGCTGTGTCACTGCATCCTGCCTGTCTCTGCCCTGGTAACCACCATGTCAGTTATCAGCAGAGGCCTGCCCTTGACTCATCTGTGGGCAATTGGCAGTGAATGCCATCACTTAGTGAAAATGAATCAGGCCCTTCTTTCACTTGCTTATCTCTGACTAACCTAATTTTCCCTTAAAAATGCCATCATCAGATTCCCTCAGACGGTTGACCCGCCAGCATTGTTGTCTGTGAAGGGGGTCATTCACTACTGTAACTGTGGAATTTCAGCCTGAAGCATCCCATCCTCATTATGTTATCAGCTGAAGAGGGATTCCACAATAGTCTGAGGGTTTTCACAGTTTCTCCATGTGTTTTTAGTCTTTACTTCACATTTAAAGTAATACCATAAAGTTTGTATAGTGTGGCATTTTGGATTAACTTTAATCTTTCTGTGGAATGCTGTGATATTGAGGACGTTAATTGAGGCTTTGACTCAGGTTACCTGATCAGACTCTTACTCAACGCCGGGCTTGTCTAACATTGTTGTATTCCCACCATAAGGCAGTGTTTTTTAATGAGGCTGTTCTGACATGCACATGGGGGATGCTTCACAGAGAAGGATTGCTCTGGTTCAGCTCAGTGCCAGTAAATTCCATGTAAGCTGCAGAACGCAAGTGTTGTGTGCATTCCTGATGGGCCTGCATAAGTTTGACTAGGAGGGAGCTGACAGAATCTGCGCCCTGTGGCTGCATCTAAGCTCTAGTGTCCAGCCACCCAGAGGTCAGGAGGTTTCAGGTGTTTGTCATATCTGTTGAGCGTGCAGGGACAGGCCTCCCAACACGCACTGCTGTTTCCCTCCTGCACAGGTGGTCTTTGCTCTTTGCTCTCACCCCAATAAAGCCAGTTATTGACTCTCTTAGGAGTAATTGGGAAATTATTGGAAGTGACACTTGAAAGCCCACTATTAGCTTTTACAGCTTAAAGGAACATTGTGATTGCCACTAGGCTTGACCTTCTTGTAGAGGTTAACTGTGAAATAGTGTCATACTTGAGAAGAAGTCATGCTGAGATAAAATAATACAAATAGAATACATAGAAAAATAATTCTCACAGGGCTAAATAGCTTTTTTTTGTCGATTTGAAACCAAAAGTTTTTGAATAATATAGAAAGAGAAAGCTGGAAACGGTTGATTACTGTTGTATGTGAGAGTGTGTTTTTGTTCTAGACGTGAAGGAGCTTGCCAGGACGAGAGGACTGGTATCTACCTTAGAGATCTGAATTTCAAGCTGCAGCTAATCTCTGCCTTTGCCCCTTTTTCTTTTTCTCCTCTTTTCTTCAGACAAACTATTTTGGGACTGAGGGTGTTCCAGCAATGTAGTGAGGTGTGTGTGTTTTATGTCTGCATGTGTTCTTTGGGCGGGTGGCGGGTTTATCGTAGAGGATTCATGGTTCTTTTGGCAGAGAAAGCTGCTAAGTGAGTGAGGCCAACACGTCACAGCATGTCGATGTGTATAGGGCCTGCAATATTGAATTGTTTCCAGTGTGTGTGTGTGTGTATGCTTCTGAGTAAAAGTGTGGGTGTGGGTGTTTTTGTGTATGCGTCACTATGGCTGCTTTCGCGGACACCCTACTACAGCTGCCATGTGCGTGCTGTTTGTTGACAAATTTGCCGGCCATGTTTTTTTTCTGGGTGTTTTAGGCCCTGATCAAACACCCTCTGAAGTTATGGAACACTCTGGCGTCATTCTGCTGCTGACAGATGGAGCGCCATTAAAAGTGGCTCAGTCAAATCATTAGCTAGTGGAAGAAGTGATTTAGCATACTCTCCCTTGTTAGTGTATTAATGCATCTCCTTCCCATTTGACAGCACTGCGGAGGTTCAGGAATCCATTAGCTGCACTCTTCCTTACACAGGCTACATGGGCACATATATTTTTCTGTCAATACGTCTTCCTTCACCCATTAGCACACCAGAGCCGGCTCAGGCCTTAGATATGTCTCGGTTGCCTGAAGGCTGAGGGGCAAGTGAGAGCCTGAATGAGCAAACAGCCTCGGGGTGGGAGAGTAGAGTGAGGCGTGGAAAGAAGAAAGGGGTTGAGGATCTACAGTAGGGGTCAGAGGTCAGACCCAGGGGCGCCTGAGGGATCTTATCTGCAGCTGTCTGCTCATGTCTTAGTGAGGAAGTTGTACTGAGAAGGATAGGAAATGTTCAGACAGCAAATAGCTTCAAATGTACTTTTAATGAGGCAGCTGCAATCTTCTCGATGGTGGTTCCGTAAGTGCCCAATGGTGGTCCATAGGTATTAGCTGTAACGAGTGAATTAAGATGTGTATACCACTCTAATCCTCTGTAGTCATTAGCTAGAATGTGTTTGGGGAGGTTTAACATCAAAGTATCTACCTGAATCCAAATCCAGCTGGTAGCCCAGCCTTTGCGTCTGTTAGAAGTAATGACTCATCCTCTTTTGTCTCTCCTCACCATAAGGAGACAGAGAGACTCAGACAGCCCCTCTTGGCGCCATGGCATGGTTACCCATCATCGGGACCATTTTATCA